GTGCCTTGCTCTTTGTCTCCGGATTGAATAGATCTCGAATCCATACAAATCCAACATCATCATTTGTCCAGCCACTTGCTGAAGAGGTAAAGAAGCAGCGGTGCTTTGTAGTATCAAAATCCTGGAACCAGGAGTCTTGTAGATTGCTTGAAGCCGCCTGGTAAATAAGCCCTGGTGGTAGAGCTGTTCCATCCGCGCAAATACAAGCAATAGTGGTAATCCATTCACGATTACTATCTTGTAGGCGCTGCTTTATCCTATCCTGCTCATAGCGGCGCCTGGAAAAGATTCTTTTACCCTTAGATAGTACTCCAATGAGAAATCCTTTTTCATCCATATTATACATATTTTCAGACTGTATTTCATATTCCTTGATCTTTCTGGCGAGTAACTCAAAGTATAGAGTATACTTAAATGCAGAATCAGCCCTCTTGCGTGTAGAATCGATTCCAGTAGTGTAGCGAGAGATCAGCTCATTTTGATACTTCTTTAGAAAACGGCTTGGCCAGTGCTTTCCAGGTTTTATTCCTGAGATCTCTTTCGCAAAATTCCGAAGCATCTCAGAGGTAGGATATAGGCCTCTCTCAGAGAGTTTATTAATATAACTTATAAGAGTTTTGGCTTGCTGGCTGTTGAGTAATCGCTGGTTTTCATATTGATTCTCTTTTGAATGCATAACACCCCGGTGGCGCCTTGAGAGTGTTGTACAATCAACACCGAATCTTTTGGCTACTTCCGCATATTTAAATGATTCTCCTGGATCTAGGGATTTTAAAAAAGCAAGCGCCTCATCAATTGAACCCATATTGACGGAGTTGTGATGGTTTGAAGTTGAAGTCAAAAAGTCGGTGTATATAGAAATCCGTGCGGCAGGTGGGGACGTGCGTCAGGTGATCAAGTACGGTAAATAGGCCCTACTTGCATCACGTGTCGCCTCCAAGATTCCCCACATTATTTTCCCCGACCTCCACACTTTCTCTTTACACCCTAGTTCATACTTGACGGGGATTTTTCAGGATATGGAGGCTGAGTGTCAAGTCTGTCACCAGCGATTCGCGCGCAGGGAGCATCTTGAACGTCACCTTCGCCGCCATTCCGGGATTCGCCCTTTTCCGTGTCCATCATGTTCACGCTCTTTCTCCAGGAGGTAAGCTAAGAATTAACCCTCGCGATGATATAGGGCAAACCTCACACGCCGAGGAAACATAGGGACACCCTGGCTCGCCATGTCACAACCCACGGTACCGGAGCCGATGGGCTACTTGTACGTACCAGAGGGGCCAACGCCTGCTTACCGTGTTCTCGCGCCAAGCTGAAGTGCAGTGGCGGCGCCCCATGTCACCGGTGCCAGAGTAAGGGTCGCAACTGTGTGTATCGAGGCTCTGATAAGCCCCCAGAGACTGCGCTGGTGAGCCCAAATGGCGCCAATAATTTCGCTCCTCGTAGTATCATAGGCAACGATACCACCGCCCTGGGCCATTTGCCGCCTAATCCGCAGTACAACCCAGTTTATATGCCTAGCGGCCGAGACGACATGACCAGCATTCCAGCTTCTGATAGTGCGGTTCCCATGTCTCCTGATATAGACCTCGGCTTTCCGTGGATGCTTGACTATGCAACCCTTTTTCAAGGGGGCAGTCTGGGCGACCAGCAGCCTCTTCTTGACCTAGCCACCCAGCTCCCAGATGGACCACTTGCATCAACCTCTAGCCTGGCAGACGTCCAAAGCCACAATATCGATATACCAGTTGTTTCTAACCAACAAGAGCATTACCAGTCTCGTGTCTTGAACCCTAACCGAGCATCGATCATGGATGCGACAGACGACGATATAATCATAGCTGAAAACTTCTGCCATGCCATAGTTCCGCTGAATAGGTCTTACCAAGCCATTTTTGGACTCTTCAAGAGCCAGTTAGATGTCCGCTTCAAGGACTTCTCGTTTCCCAGCCAGCCAGCGTTTAAGTCGTTTATACAGTTGTATTACGAATACTTCGACTGTCAGCTGAGCTTCGTTCACCGATCTGTACTGGAAGAACAGGACACCCCGTGGATTCTTGTCCTGGCTGTGGCATCTGTCGGATGCCAGTATACACAGTTGGCCAAACGGGAGCAGTATTCTGCCATTCTCACAGAGCTCCTGCGATTGTCGCTGCCTCTCGATGTATGTCTTTACCATCAATCACCCAGTATAGACGCCTATGGAAACGCCGCTAATAAAGCTGCAGGGCCCCAAAGCGAGGATATATGACACCGTAGTATTAGCCCAGTGCTCATTGCTTGCCATTGTCAACTTCATGTTTACCGGCTTCAAAGATAATGTGGTCAACTTGCAAATCCAACGAGCATGGCTCGCAACTTTAGTACGGCCGTTTCTTACCTCCCCCAAACCTAAGAGTTCATTATTAAGCCAAGAGGTCAACGGTCGCACCTCCAGCAACACCTGGGGTTCGTGGATCCGTTCTGAGATGGAAAGGAGATTAGCATACTGCTACCTAGGTCAGTAAACCATCTGACGGGACGGCAAACCCCTCGTTCCGATATGTCACCGCAAGCTTACACATCTTTGTTCCAGTGGTTGACAGTTGGTGCTTCATATTTTTGGGACTTCCGGTGACCTTCACGGCAAAGGACTATCAGCAAATGCTTCCCTCTTCTGACATATTATGGGGGGCGCATAATGCAGATGAATGGAGCGGTCATATGGCTCTAGATGGACCACAACCAAAGAGTCTCAAGGAGCTCTTCACCATGGACTCGGCGGCTTCAATAGCTAGCGCATCGCAGACATCTGAATTTGCCAAACTCTGCCAACACCTTATGCTATTTGTGGAAGAAAGGCGAGTTATAGCAGCAAACCAGTCGTGCATTCTCCATGATTTTAGTGACGATACTCAGCACCGAAATCCATGTTCACAACAATCGGCCTATAGCAGCCTGGACTGGAGGTACAGAATGTTGATGCCCTCAAGCCCAACAGCCTCTTTGGGCAAGGGTGTCTCAGACACAAGGGATACATTCTTCCATCTGCTGTTCATTCTGAGACATATACCTCTGGAAAGCTTGTATACATATTCTGGATGGTATGCTTCTAAAGAAGATATTTCCGGTGCAGAACTTTACCTTCGCACTTGGCTGCAAGACAACCCTGCACTCTCGAGGGAATGTGTGTCGCATGCAGGGGCTTTAATAGGCAAAATTCGGCTATCCCTTACCATGTCCTGCTACGACCCTTTCTGTCTCCTGATAGCTGTATTGTTTCTATGGACCTTTGAAAAACTAAAGCCAGCCTTACCGGCGGCACTGAGACAAGCGTCACCGGGCAGCGGACCTGCAATCATCTTCAAGATTGACCAATGTCACGAGGAGGGCATAAGAGAGCGATGGATTCGGGGTGACCCAGAAGTATCAGTGCATATTACTGGTGTTGGTTTGCTATCAAGTGCGGGAGGAACAAGGCGCCTGCTACAAGAGTACTTGCGCATCATAAGCCCCCAAACTGGTTGGCCTACGCTTCGCAGGGGCTTGATAGCTTGTGGGTGTGACCTCATCAATGAAATCGCCCCCATAACGACTTCCCCGCACCGAGATAACGAAACATAGGCCGCAGTCTATGAGGCTCGGCAAATAGTTTTTTCATTCAAATCCCGTATACCATGCGGATTGCGGAGAGTCGGCGCGGAGAGCCGAGTGCCAGGCATGGGTGTGGAATATGTTGTTTTCGGTCGAGGACCCGGCCGAGAGCTTTGACTTGATGAACGATGCTTTTGTGCATCTATGGCGTCTAGCACTTTGCGTGTTTCTCAATATGCAATCCTCCACCATCCGGAAGAATGGTTCGAACACCCACATGACAGCACGACTGGCAAAAGCAGATGTCTTTGGAGACGACGTAAGTTTTCTTTTGTCTCAGCATCGCAAAGCTAATTAGAAACCAGTGCGTAGTTGGAAGATACCACCATATGACAGCGGCTATAACATAGGAGGAAGGGAACTCAGTTTGGAAGCCCAGGAACACAAAGCCCCTGTGATTTGCATTAACCATGGACTTGACGCAGCCAAAAATCTCAATTTGCCATTAATACAGGCTCAGCCTGGGTCTCCGAGTAGCCTCGACCCTCGTGAATATGAAAAAGGCAATTTAAGCCTCGAAGAGCTGATTAGCTATGCTGAAGACAGCTATCAGGCCATTGGCTTCAGAAATTATCCAGGAATATCTGCCAATACGGAGAGCCCGACATTGGCATAACACCCCTGTACCAAAGCGAGCTTGCCGTCAACACACGAGGCCGACGACTGTATGTGAGGGATGGAGTTTCAGGTTTGTTAGAGAAGGCTCATTCCTTGTTTTCTGATTGGGGCCGGCAACAATATTCGTGACTGGAGAGACGAAAATCCACGGAGCTGCACTCCGAATCAATCCACATTCCAAGGAGAGCCAGAGGTTCGGGACGGACTGATTAATACCGAATACTGAGGGATCAATGGGCAATCAGACACCTGGGCGATATCCACTTGCAGTGAAGTGGTGCCAGTGTCGTCCAGGACGCTGGCCTCTACTTAGATAACTGATAGTTTAAAAACAGTAGGGTAATTGTTGCCTGAGTCAACCATAGTTAAATGATTATACTGGGGTTATAACAAGGTTATTATATATGCTGCTCTAATTAAAGCAGAGCAAGGAGATCTAAATATCAGAACAGGCCAAATTCAACTTCAAAAGCACTTCCAACTTTCTACTACAGCTTCGATGCAGGCTGCAAGAGATGCTTCATCTCAGCATTTGGATACTCAACATTCTGGGACGAATCAGGTCGCTCCCGATCCCAGGCCCATCTCTCAACCAATTCGGGCGCCAACTCGCTCTCAAGCATCTGTACGACGTACTTGCCCAGCACGGGGAAGAACTTGAAGCCGTGGAACGAACCGCAGGTGGCGATGTAGAGACCCTTTGAGGCAGAGTGAGGAGAAATGATAAAGTCAGATGTCGTGGTGAAAGCGTCCCTGTTGAGTGTTAAATGCTGATCGTCATGTTAACGATTTGTTGGAAGGGGGTACTCACCAGCAGATTCGGTGTTTCTTCATCTCCCAGTCCGCGCTCTCGGGCCCATACCATAGATTCCTAGCCTCGACAATGTCCTGCTTAAGGGGCCCAGGAACCTTCCACTGGTTGTAATCATGTGTGGGCGGGGGTGAAGAGATATAACGACCAGGTAACACCTCCCGGGTATTTGTGAAAATCTTAGAACCCCACCATTTGAGCTCTCCATCCTTAGTAGGGGGAATGCTGCCAATGAAGGGTTTGCCTAAGGACTGTTAGTGGCTTTCATGCAAAATGTAATTGATTGAAGACCTTACCCTCATTGGGTGTGTAGCCTTGGAAGCCAACGGGCATGTCTTTGAACTTCTTGTACTGCTCCGCATTGAGCTGTGCCATTCCTGTCGTAATACCCGCAGCCAGAATTCGCTCTTCAGCTCGCAGGCCGGGATTGCCGCTCGACGCAGCAGACCACTCCAGCAATGTGGGTGTGAAAGCGCCAGCAGCGACGATGACATGCGTGGCCGACAAGATCTGTCCTGATTTCGTCTTGACGCCAGTGCAAGAGCCGCGGCCATCGAATTGCAGAGTGGCAATGTCAGCCGTCACGTACTCGACGCCCAATTCCAGGCACTTTTTCGTGACTGCACGAAGCGCATCTCCAGCGGCGGCCCAACCACTGGCCCTGTTAATCAGAACCTCCTTGACACCAGTATAGTCCGCATTGTCAAAAATCCCGCCATAAAGCTTTCGGGCCTTTGCGACAGGCAAGGCAATGATATCGTCATTGCGGCCGAGCTCCTTGTGGTTGGTGATGACGTTTTGCGCATAGCTGCTGCGGCACGTCCAGTAAACGCCAGTCTGGTGGAAATGAGGCTTCCAAAGAGGATCCGACTTAAAGATGTCCTGTGCCTCTAGAGCCAGCTGGCAGTAGACCTTGTCATCGTAGTCAGCACGAACAACCTTGTTCCAATCCCATGATGCCGCCACACGAGAGTCGGCGTCGTATGCATCTCGGTCTACCAGCGTCACCGACGCATTGGGATACTTCTGGATGAGATGATAGGCCGTTGACACGCCAAAGACACCGGCACCAACAATAAGGTAGGAAGGGTTGCGCGAGGTCATCTTGAGAGCGATTACTAAGTTTTTCTTGCGGGGATGATTTGAGTCTCGGCAGCTCTTTAAGACTTTGGGGGAATGCGAACTTTATATTTTTCAATTGCCTGGAGTGAATTGGCCGCTTATCCGTCAATCCGTCAATCCAGACTTACTCCGTAAAAGGCTATCTCAATTGACCGACTCTAGACCCGGTGGTCGTGCGGGGGAGGTCCAGACGGAGTTCCACTGCCATTCCTGCCAAGGTAAAGGAAAAGCGGAAAGCTTACGGAAGGTCGGTCGGGTAGTGGAGATCAAAGGACTGGATTCGGAAGTCAAATGCAGTGGGAACTCGGGAAACTCATCAATTTTATATGGACTGCATCTTAGGGCATCCTGCGGCTATACCTATTTCGGACTTACATTCCCGCGGGAAGTGTTTGCAGTTTTTGGTTCCGCCTTCCATCTCTCATCCACCGCCTAGAGAGTGGACGAATAGGGATGATTCTGCGGGCAGAATGAGTTGAGAAACAAAAGAAAATGAGTGAAAATGTGGATTGGCGGCTTTGCTTCGCCGCGCTAGTGTGTGGTGGGTGTGTATATATGTTGACGGCTTTCGAATATAGAAGAAAAAAACTAAAAACATACAACAGGAGGGATTCGCTGGTGGCCACCCACCCAACTACTAACCTCCTGGCGTGTGGCTTCTGCGCGGTCAATAGATCACTGCGTGCCTCTGCAGGGTAAGTACAGATATTGATATCAAGTTATCGCGCGCATAGCGTGGGTATATTTTAGAGGGGGGTAATAACTTGCGATATCAACCATCCTGTGGTGATGGGCCAGAATATATATGCCCATCCACATCTGCCTAGGCTATCAGTCTGCCGGCTCTCTGATTAGTATATAGCCCTGTTCAGTCAGACACCCAGTCTCTTGGTAGCTATGCTTCGCCACCTTTCCTACTAATTAGTAAAAGCTGAATAGTTAAATTTCAGATATAATAAGATAAGTATATCACAGTCTCTCAAATTAATATTATCCAGTTATATTCTGATTTTGGGCGAGTCTCAGAGATATCCTTGTACAGGCTATCTCGACAATCCTATAGTATTATATAACTAAGCAGTATCGAGAAACTAATAGCGTATTCGGTAAGCACCCTGCGCATGCAAGTACCCTGCGCAGCTCTGTATTCCATACAAATCAGCGCTTTTTACTACTTGAACATCTCAGGAACCAGGGATAGTAAAGATACAATAATTAATATATAATAGAGTATAGGGTAAATAAGGCTATTGATAATTTTTTGAATTTTTCTCTTCTTAACTTTACGTTTTAAAGTAGAAATATCAAAAATACAGCTGTAATATTCGATACCGAAAGACGTATTGCTTGTATAAGTTTCTCTGCTTTATATATTAATATTTAAGTACTATTATATACTCCTCTTGAATTTTGGACTATTATTGCTTGTGGTTGCTGAGATATTCGAATACTAAAAAGGGCTGATTGTATGGAATACAGAGCTGTGCAGGGTGCTTACCGAATACGTTAACTAAGTTAACTAGGACGACTTAGTAAGCCGGGTCCAAGCGTAACGTATTTTACCGGTGAGCGGTCCACCTCCGCTCCGATTCTACCTCTAGATGAGATTGTAGAGCCTATATTAAGTACATATTTGCATTTATATATAAAAGCTGATTACTAAGTGGATTAGGACATCTAACTCTAGTATATCCCTGGATATGACAATTAGAATACCGCGGGGGGGCTCATACACACGGTCTAACTGTAGAAAGTGTAGAATCTACAGGGATAGTATCCTGAGCTTTATCAACCTTATTCTCGCGCTGGAAGCACTCTAAGCCCTCCTGAATAGCTAGGCTCTCTGTAATAGCTAGCTGTCTAGTAGAGTGTTTTTGCTTTTGGCCTTTCCATTCATTCTCCACATGATGTTTTCTTATTTCTTCCCTGACAAGAACAAGCTCATTAAGTGTCAATTCATAACCTTTGATAATCTTGTTTAATCGCGCTTCTAATAAAGGTAAAGGACTGCAGACACGTTATCTAAATATTTTTCTTGCAGCAGCTGCCTGTCTCTCTAGCTGCTTAGTAGTATAGGATATTTTAGGCGCTAAATTAGTTGATTGACTGCCTGGTGGTGTAGGAGTCTCTAATTAAATATTCAGCTTGCTCAACACCCTATCTAAATTAAATAGAACTAGGCCAGTAGCTATAGAGCTATTCTGAATATTCTCTGCTGTAAAGGCGCTTTGACAAGTTTTTAGTAAAATGTTTAGAAAATCAAGCTTGGCAATATGACTGATGCCTAGGCGTACTTTTTCTTCCACTAAGTGTCCATATCCACCTTTCAGAGACCGAAAACAGCCTACATCTAAAGGCTGAAGCTTGTTGGAGGAATGCGCAGGTATGCAGATAGGAACAATATCATTCTCACTGCATATTTGATCAAATTGAGATATAAGATAACTTCATGGCCATCGAGAACTAGAAGACAGTATTTCCCAACTGTACAACTAGTAGTTGCAGGAATAAAGAGATTTTTAAGCCAGCGAAGACCTATTATCGATAACCTGTGCTTTTCTATAGTAATTAACTCTAGTAACTACTTAAGCAGTAGCTACTAGACCTATAGTAACGCCAGTTTTGTCAAAAATATAGATATCTTCCCGTGTGATTATATATTATATTACAGTATTTTATACACGGTCAAACCACTCTTTAATAACTTTAGGATCTTCGTATTTCACTTGTCAATAATTATAGTATCGTATAACAGGGTTTGATCTCATCATATCGTTTAATCAATTTCAGAGACCCAGTTTTCTCCTACTATTTGAATAGACACTGTATCACATACAGCAAGAAGAATATTGTCCGTTTCTCGTATAATAAGACGGTCGGGGAGGCGCTCTATATCGATCTAGTGATAGACTCTATTATACAAGCAATTCCTCTTTATTTTGAGTTAATATATGATTATTGGCGCGTGTTTCTAAGCGCGAAGTAATTCCATTTAATCGTTGTTGAAGAGTTGTGCGAGGAACATTATAGACACGCGCCGCTTCACATTCCTCTTTTTTTAAGGCAGATATAGCAATAGTATTCTGTCCTCCTGCCCAGCCAGATTTCTTGAATTTTGAGGCGCTTTTAGAGGCATGGTTGGTAGTTGAATTGAGTGAGGCAATAAAACCCGTCAATTTTTGATGAGGTGGCCCGCTCGTTGGTGTGGCCCTATTCGGGAGCGCTCTCGAGCTTATAAAGGATTGGTCGGAGAATCCTGGATTAATTCTCAACTCTCCTCGACATGCGCCTAATATGTCGCGCCTTTCAGATGAAATCCAGAACAATTACGTTGACGATAGGCTTATGACATAGACACCGATTTTGTCATGTTTGCACTTTTGTCTTCCTTTTTCCATATAAATTGGTTGCGCTCTTTGCAATCCCCCGTATGCCAGAATATCGCCTACCATGGATGAAGCCATTTCGACCGAGTAGGGCGGCTTTTGACCGAGTTCTCTACGAAAGTTCCAAATTATGGTCTTCCTATCTCAGCACATCCAATACTACAACCCTACTCCCGTTTGATTGTATCGACTTGAAGATTCACAGGCGCACGCCTTCTTTTCTTGGATGCGGCCTGCTTCCCCAAGGTTACAAGAATAGGGAACCGGCCTCTGTAACAAGCAGACCATACATATAGCAGCGTTTGTCATCAACTATGTCACTGCTAATCTCACCAAGAATGCTCAATTCCATCACAACAGCAAAGTACAGTTTACATCCGTCATTCGCAAAACTCAATACCGACTTGACATCCGGATATATGAAGAGGCACAGAACAGAGCTATGAAACGAATTCATGGTCATTGCGAATTCGCTATGCAAAAGCCGGATTGACATGCGGAGACTCAGCACGTCTTATACCCACCTCCTGGCATGGTCCTTGACCTGCATTAGACTACTGCACTTATAATAATTTGTCTCTTCAGAAAGAAGTCGAGTGAGAGCTTTCATTCCTACCAAATTTTGAGATATCAGGCGGTGGGCAGTCGGAACCGCCACTGATACGTAGCGAAAAGGCACCGGAACATAGTTATCCCAGGCCCCGCGTTGGATGGCACCGAGCCAATGATACATAGGGTGCTTTGGCAAATTTGGCACCGCTCGCACCTCCCGACCGCTTTGTGTGTCAAATTGGTTCCAAGCTGCTGGTTTAACATACTCACTAGATGGAAATGTCTGGTCCTTTGGAAACTGGCCTCCAGACATTTACCAAGAAGGGGAGGCCCACGACAAGCTGCACCGAATGCTCGCGTCGAAAACAGAAGGTCCTGGCCCTCAGTCCTTTCCATTTACGACGAGCTCTAACATCATCTGCCGTTCAGTGTGATCGGAAAAAGCCCTGTAACCATTGTTCCGCTCGAAATGTCGTCGACAGATGTGTTTACACAAGACCCTTATCGTAGGTGCTCCCATGAGGTGGGGTTTACTATATGCCTTCTAAGACTCCTACCACGTAGTCTGCGATCGGGGGAGTCGAGTGTCATTCTAGATGTGCGGGAATCAGAGATGCATCATATTCAGAATGGCGAGCCGGTCCAGATGCTGCCTGATTGGACGAACCATATTCAGCGGTCCAGTCAGCTTGGATACTCATCAGTTGCTGGAAGCAACTCCTTCGTGGAGCTGGGGCGGGTGATGTGCCGTATCGTATATAAATGATATAACTCGCTAACTGGTACGTAGATTTTCAACGAGGGAAATGAATTTGAGTCTATGCATGCCGCCTATAATCGGCACCCTCTGCCTCCATCCCAACTGTGTCCTGAGGCTCTGTCGTTAATTTCCCGTTTGCCCCCCAGGCAGATTACCGACGAGATTATTGAGGCTTTTTTCTTGGATGTCAACTGGCATTATTTTATCGTGGAAAAATTCTATTTCAACGATTTATTTTCACGCTGGTACAACGCCGAAACAAGCCCGGTCACGTATCTCAGCTCGGACGGTCTCGAGAGAGAGTTGAGATACTTCCCCACACTGTTGTTTCAGATCGTCGCGTTGTCGTTACAATTCCTTCGCCCAGATGCGGCAGCGTGGCGGTTCTTTGGAGGCGAGGCAAATCTCTCGCAAAAGTATAGCGACATGGGCGTGGAGCTGTTGGATCTATTAGGCAGGCAAGACACGGCTCTGACTGCTGTCCAAGCAAATCTCTTAAGAGCATCTTGGCTGAAGAACCTCGGCCGGGGAATTGATGCTTGGCGGTCTTTGGGAGAAGCGATCAGGTTTGGCATTTCTGACGAATCCGACACGTCATAGGTACTGACGGTTTCAACAGACTGTCTCAAGAACTTGGTCTCCATCGACAACAGTGCTTTCATCAGCCAAGCTCGGATAATGTTGAGAATTCATTGGACTCGTTCTGGTATAACGAATATAAGAAGCGTGTGTGGATTAATTTATATACTTGGGACAGGTATGGCGTACTTTACGCGCGAGCTAATTCCTTTTGGTTCTGACGGAATAGTCTCATGGCTCTTGTCCTTGGTCGACCGATGATGATCAACAACTGTGACTGTGACACTCAGCTTCCAATTGATTGCGATATACCAGAGCTTCCTTCAAGGACTGTGCCAATGACACTCTCAGCCAATCCGGACAAACATCGTCCCACCTCTCTTTCAGCATCCCTCGTCAGGTATTGCATATCAGCTAAGGTTCACCTAATACGCGAATTAAAGCTCGACACCCCGTACCCCGTGGACTACTCGATGGTTGGAACTTTACATGAGCAGGTTTTGACGATTTTAAAAGGTATAAAACCGGCCCTTCGACATCAAGATCCCGACACGTCTTGTGATTCGCAGTACCACTATCTTCCTCAACAGCGTGAGGAACTCCTCACTGTCGTGTACACGTTCCTCATGGCATTACATCGGCCTCATATCAGTTCACATGCGCAAAGCCGAAGAGCTGTTTTACAGGCGGCAATTGTTGTATTGGACTCCCAACAACGGCTTTTCGAGCTAACGGAATTACACCATTATATGCTGTGTCATCTTTCGTTCTATACAGTGGACGCAGCTATTCTACTCTCCGTAGTAACTTCACTATACCCACAGCAAAGCTCCGAGGACACGAGTGATATCTACCGTGCGCTCCAACAGTCTATTGCTAGATTATCTATGATAGCACCGGTGAATCCCACAGCAAAATCGGGCCTGGATGTTATTAAGCGGTGCTATCAGAGGCTTCAAGAGCCACGTAGATCCCTTTCCGCGGCTGAAGTGATACCGGCGCATCTACCTTCTACAGTAGGTCAGCTGCAAGATACCTCGGAGGCTCCGGGCGACGAGCAAGGGAGCCATGCGGAGTACCTGCAGTACGAATCATATCCTTTTCCCGTGGAGCTTCCCCAGAACTTCTCAACAACACATGGAGTTGCACCGACACACTACTTCGACCAATCATACTGGCTCCGCCAAGTAAATAGCATCTACTCTACTGCTGCTCACGTTTCAGATCTTTGACCCAATGTTGGGGCCTCATGGAGACTGAGCCATGATTACAAAGCTTAACATAGCTGCGTCAGCGTTGGTAAGTGGAATAGCACACAACAAGCGGAATTTCATGATGTGGACAAAGAATACATGCGGCAATGCAAAAGCGTATTTTAACCTGACTGTGCCGTCCTGTCAGAGCAGTCATGCGAGTCAAACGATTATTCAATATTCGTTTAGCAAATCTAGGCTTATGGCCCACAATCTTTTCTCCATTTCGGGACTGTATGCCCAAACCGCATAACCGGGCCCGTGGCGCTGTGCAGGATCGGCTGGTAGCGCAATTTGATAATTATCCAAGTATTTGCCTCCGATACCTTCTAATTCCCTCGCAACTGCCCCCCAAACGGTGGTCACGGCGCCTTGTTCAGTACTCTTCCAATAGTTGATTAAAAACTTATTTTTCTCCCAGTCGGCTTTCTGTTCTTCTGATACGTGGCGAAGAAGCTCTGTTACTATGGCACCCGGGTGTAAGCTGAAAGCATGGAGACCCTGACCACCGTATCATCTCTCGATTTCGTTCGCTGTCCAGATGTTAGCAGTTTTACTCTGGCTATAGGCCTTCCAGAGCTCATATTCTCCTTCTAAGCTAAGATTGTCGAAGTGAACGGAGGAGATGCGGTGTACACTGGATGCCACAATGACAACTCGCGAGTTGAACGCTGGGGTTGACAAGGAGAGAAGGCAATGTCTAAAAAGATAAAACAACAAAAAGTAGGCTAGATAGTTGGTTCCAAACTGGATTTCAAACCTATCTGCTGTTTAGCCTTCCGGGCATGCCATCACACCGGCATTCGCGATTAGGATATTCAGAGTATACGACCTCGACTGAAATTCCTCGGCGCACGTACACACAGATGCCATAGAGTTCAAGCCAAGGTGTAAAAGATAGACCTGAGGACTCTCCACAATATTACCCAAGGAGGACTTTGGTTTATCCAAATCACGGGCAGTAAGGTACAAGGTTACTCCAGTATGGACGAGTGCACGTGCAGTCTCTATACCCAGGCCCGACGAGCAACCTGTGATTAAGATTACTTTGCCGACTAAGCCACCTTCACGGCCGGCGTCTTTGATGATTTGGAGTGCAGTGGGACGCGCATCTCCAGGGCCCTTTTGGCGATCGGTGAGCTTCGGCGTATTTGGAATCCATCATGGTTTGTGTGGGTACGATTTTCACATCAGCGAGGCGGTAAACGTGAGAGCGAAATGGAAAGCAATCTACTTTAGGCTATATTGTTCGACGTTATATATATGATTTGCCTTCCGCCTCAGCTGCTCCAAATAGCGTCCAATGGATATCGAGTCTTTTCAACGTTTTAGGATACGTACATCTCAGTTTGTTCTTGTCACCGTTGACCTCGGCTTTACGAGATTATCACCGATGCTGACAATCATTTCAAATGCTGACAAATGTCAGCTTCCTAACAATGCGCGAGGTACAATGCTTCTATTCATTTCATGTCGTTTCGTTCTGTGTCGAATCCGTGACCCTGATTATCGCGCCAAACCAATTCCTGCATGTCATCTTTAGACTTTTCATGAATTTGGTTCCATAAGTGGTTCTTCGGCAAAAGATCTGCAGTGCCAAGTGAACTTCGGGAAACTGTGACGTCTGATTTCCCGAGCACTCGCATTGTGGGGAAGGCCTAGCCTACTCTGGGCCTGAGCTCCAATATTCTTCGCTCGAAAAGGGAGAGTTGCGGTTATGATGTTTGCATGGTGCAGACGAGGGATGGTTGGGAGCAATAGAGGAAGCCCTTTTTGCGCATCATCGGTTAATTGTGCTACTCTCGATCGGTGGTTGACTGGAACTGGCTTTTCAGTCGGAAGAGTAGTCAAATTACGCCTTGATCCCTTGGGCACTAACCCTTTGTTTTTTTTTTGTTTTTTTTTTTTTGTTTTTTTCCTTTTTTCTCTTGGTCCAGCTCAGGACAATAGGTATTTGATGATGCTTTCTTGGCCAGGAGCTAATAGTGGAAGACAGATACCAATCTAAGTAATAACGATGCCAGTTACCAGATATAGCTTCATTAATTTCAAACAAGGCCTTTGATTCCTAAACTACTCATGGGAACCGCCATTGACATTCAATGGTTTCAAGAAACAACGAGTTGCAGAGCACAAGGATAGGAGAAAAAAAAAAAAAAAACATCTTTCAATAATCCTCCCATTGCCATACATTCTGACTCAACCCTCAGCATTAATCTTAGAGATTTTTCCCGAAAAATTCAACAAGCTTCGGGCCAGAGACCGCGAGGTCGTCATAAAGATCGAAATGGTTCTTTCCTTGGACGATGAAGAGCTCCTTGGGCTCATAGGCCGCCGCAACAGCGTCTTCACTGTAATGGAGAGTCTGGGCCTGGGATCCGGCGATCATCAACAAGGGCCGTGGGGATATCAGGTGTTGAAAATGGAATGAGTCATAGCTGACCATGAGGTCGTAGCTAGATGGTGGAACCTTTTGGTCTGAGCGCGGGTGGTTTCCACGCTGCGAACCATAGTAGGAGGCGGCATCTTTGAAGAACGAGTCGGCATCCTGCGGAATCTGGGATATATCACTGCTGAACATTGGTGGGGGTTCGATATGGGAATTGATAGCTGTGTTTATACGCCACTGGCCGGCCGCATGCAGTGCACCAGCAATGGCCTGAGGTACTTCCTTGTTGTTTTCCCTGTGTAGCCCCCCATTGCGGGTCATACGGCCAACGCAAGCGGCACTCACAGTAGCAAGTGCCTTGATACGGCTGTCCGACTGCGCGGCATACGATGTATAACCACCCGAGGCGCAAATCCCAAGTACACCAATCCGACTGGGATTGACCTTGCCCTTCAGGGTGCTCAGATAGGTTACAGCAGCCTTGTTGTCTTCGACTCTCTGATGGGGATCTTCCAGCCCGCGTGGCTGGCCGGTGCTTTCCCCCTGATAGCCTGCGTCGAATGCGAGGGCATAGAACCCAGATTGAGAGAGCAATCGGGCATGGTCTGCAGCGGTTTGTTCTTTAACACCGGTCATGGGATGGCTAATCACGACCGCAGCGCCGCCGCGATCAGGGGAGCCAGCAGCAGGAGCATAAAGCTCGCCGCTGATTTGCAGCGTAAAAGACGGGAAGGTGACCTTTGTGGGTGCAGACATTATGTAAGGATTATCAGTGGAGGGGTAACGGATTCTTGGACTGAATGTGTAAGGAAGATATCGGGCTTCGTCAAACAAGAGACCCTTTTATGCAAGCAGCCAGAATAAAGTTGATGTCTAGAGGCCCATCTATATGACGTAAACGACCCACTTCTTTCCCGACAAACTTCGGGAAAAGCTTTGATGTCCGGGGCAGCAGTACTTGCTGTATACCAGAAAACCCTGTCTTGCTCGGCGATAAAAGCTGACACCGTCTTAACTTCGAACCTTGCTTACGGACATGACAAATTGGTCCTCATAAATCAGAATGCTTCGATTACAAATCGGGCCCGAGGTGTCGTTGGGGGATATCCATATTAAAAGGGCCTTTTGCTTTTTTGATGTTTCTTTAACGGTCCATTCCACCAGCAAATCGCCCTCCTTTATCCACTGTTGTTATACATTTATACGCATACCACAGCTATGAAGAAGACCCTCGTTGTCTTCGGGGCCACCGGAAACCAGGGTGGCTCGGTAATCGATTATGTCCTCAACGACATAGAGCTCTCCAATCGCTACCATGTTCGCGCTGTGACTCGCAACCCGGATAGTGCAGCAGCCGTAAAACTCAAAGGCAGAGGTGTCGAAGTAGTTCAGGGTAATATGGACCATCCTGGCACTATTGAACGGGTCCTTCATAACGCCAACATTGCCTTCATCTTAACAACGTACCAGACCACAAAAGTCCGCGAAGTCGCCCAAGGCAAGGCAATCGCTGATGCAGCTGTCGCCAAAAACTTGGAATTCATTATCTATAGCACCCTACCAAGCGTCATCGACATCAGTGACGGCAAATATCGTGCGGTGGAATATTTTGATAGCAAAGCGGAGACAGAGAAATACATTCGAGCATTGCCCATCAAGGCGGCCTTCTTCGCACCGGGGTGCTACATGCAGAATTTTCACGATGAAATGAAACCTCGGGCACTCGATGATGGGACTTACGAGCTTGTGAATTCCGTACATCCCCACACGCAGCTTCCTCTTATCGATATAGCAGACTCTGGGAAATTCGTCGGGGCCATACTTGCCGACCCAGACAGGTTTCAGGGCCAATTGTTGTCGGCTGCGACGGAGATGTATTCGTTTGAAGAGATTGTAGGGATATTGAGTGAATCCACGGGGAAAAGGATCAAGTTTTTACAGGTGACAGAGAACTCGTTCCGGGAAAGCCTTCCGCCGGACTTTGTGGAGAGTCTCCTGGAGACAATGAGGTACTTTGAGGAGTACGGATATTATGGCCCACGGACAAAGGAGAATGTTGAGGCAACTGCGAAAGTCGCCCGGGGGAGATTGACCACACTTCAAGAGTACCTCCACAAAGAGCCTATTGAGTTTTAATGCACGAGCATACAAATTTGTCTACAGCCCGGGTTCTCTTTATTAAATGCCAGGTATTAGTTATGGAGGACAACCATAGGGAACAGACCATGTAGATCTAAGCAAGTAAAATAAGCGTCCAGCTTGTAGGGAAAAAGCACACTCTACAATCAGCAGAAATGAGAGGAGACTTTGAAGCCAATTGGAGAACCTTAACCTTTGAAAGCAAGATATATTCTTGAGAAACCAATGCTATAGTCAGGCCTTTGTACATTTCTATCAACGATGACCAGACCATAGATCAATTGTGCTGCTCGCTGAATGATGATCATAGAATAGGGTTGAATGACGGCGTTGGGGACCGAGACCGGGAAGTTTTGCTATACATTTAACACACCTAGGACTACGTCACACAGGCATGAGAATTAGCAGCTCTCAATCCAGACATACCCCGGAGCTTCTCATGTTAATAGCCAAGATAACCAGAAATTTAAAATAGAATATCACTGTCAGATACCAAGGTTATCATGCAGATCATTCAGTGGCTTAACCCAAGAAAGGTATATGAAAACAATTACATTGAGCCTATTGCTAGTTCCGGGTTATCTGACGTTTCATTAATTATGGACAAGGAAACAACAACAAAACCAATCAATTATGAAGAAGCCAAAAAGGAAATTCACGACATAGTAAATGAGTAATGGAACTGCCCCGAACACCTCCAGTTTCTTGCAATTTCCCTTCCAGAAGCCAACATATTGGGTTCTTCCTCCCTAGGTTTCTGGGGCCTGAAGAGCCGCATAACTCTAGTTGTAACTGTTGGGACGAGGTCCGCCTACAAAACGTCAGTATCATGCCTAGTATAGGTAGTAGTGTATATAGAAAACTACTTAAAAAAAAGGAAAAGCCGTCGTTTTATATGATCTCTATAGAACCAGATAATTCAATTTAGGAAGCTCTATATCAACGTTTGCGGACATAGTTGACCAAGGAGATCAAGAATCTAGAGGCCGGAAAGAAGATACTTCTTTAGACCAATGTGTTAGAAATTGTGTTGAACTTTTGTTGTATCTTTGTCCTTAACGCTGGTTTATCGTTGCGATACCGCAATCTCTTGTGATACTCTTATAGGTAGCTACGTATTAGACAGCTGCCATGTAATGGGAATGTTGCGTGGACTCGTGGGTTAAGACAATTTAAGTGGCAGATATGCGTTGTCCTTCGGCACAGTGATCTCCGGCCATTGATTCGCATCACCAATCATGGAGGAAGGTGCAGTTGTAGCTGAATGCACACGAATCCCCTAATCATAATAAACAGTGGTCTCGCTTGAATGACGATTTGGATGATGAAGCATTACTGTACAGGGGCTCGGTTGCAGTGGTTCCATAGAATCATTTTCGAGTGGTAGGTATCTATCGGTCTTTCTTTCTGCTTTTCAGGCTAAATATACTCCTACGTGCTATTCAGCGCATACGCTAGAAACTCCCTACATCATACATGATCAGAAATATGGACAGGCCCCTTTCTTTCTTTTTGAATTGAGAAGATTGAATGTTTATAGACAACTCCCGAACCTTGGCATGATGATTACCCAACCAGATGATGGCAGTCGAGTGGTCATGAACGATGATTACACAAAGCCGCAGAGCCCTGCTTTCTGCGCAAAGCATTCTCACTGTGCACGGTTCACTCCTACCTCTATTATAGATACATTGGAACCACTACCACCATGCGTCTTGGAACACACGAGGGTGCCAGGCCCTGGTCATATTATGATATTGTGCCTCCTAGCCGCTCAGACGCTCGCACTTGCGAGTCCCCATTCGTAAAGTGCGAGGTTGCCGAATGCACCGCTACCTCAGCGCACGGGTTGTACGAATCGATGACTCTCAGGATCGGTTTTACAACGTGCTGCAAGTACCTCGACAGCAATGAGCTCGAGAAACGGATAGACTATAGTTCTAGGCAGTTGGACAGGATGGAGGTTACGGTGATCTTTTACGATGTGGGACTGGGCAAGGATGGGCAGATTGAGCAATTGTCCGCATTCTCTTCTAGCGGCGAAAATTTCAGCGCCATCAGACTATAAATGTACCACTACTAGATTTCCTATAGATTGGTGAATCTCCAATATTAGACTCTAATATAGATATAGAATAAGTTATTTATTAAAGTACTGAGAATACTTTTAATATATAATATTAGATATTATAAGCTTTGATTAAATCTAATCGATTATATTCTTTATTATTTCTCTCCCTTCTTTTTTTAGTATATATTGTTATAATCTGAGAATTATTTAGTAGAAGATATATAATTTTCCAAGTATATATAAATACTATACTTAGGCAGTATTATTTATATATATTATTTTTATATTTTATATCTTCTTTCAAAAAAGTATTGTATGTCACAGATCCGATGATGACTCTGTGTCACAGAGGATCTACTATACAGGGTAGATAGCCTGTCAACTAGGTAAGGAAACGTAGGCGGAAAGAAGAAGAGATATCTATCATTGACTGCGTAGTAGAATAAATACAAAGACATTGATTCTTGTCCCTTCTATCTATGTTTTTGGACCTCCTTAAATAGCTTTAGGATCCTTCTCTATTCTGTATATCTTTCCCGCTGAAGAGTCAGTGAAAGGTCAGGTAGTCTCTCCTCCGACCAACTCTAAACCGTAGGGGGTCCGAGGTCTTATGTAGGAAGGACCGGGACCAGGGCCTATACACGATGAACCAGGATATAGGGTCCCGGGGGTTCTGCAGACTTCACGGGCCGATTCCTCATCGGCTCCGTGACATCAGGATTATTATGGGACTTCTGCTGGCAGAAATCGATAAGAACCCGTTGTTGCGGAGTGGCCGCTATGACCCTCCGTAACCATGACACTGTATAATCTGTCAATACCAACCGATTGGCCGCAATGGATCGAGCCAACCCACCTAGGGCCTTTCAGACCGTGTTCGTAGGAAACTCGGTTTTTGATGGCAAAATCGAGTACACTGATCAGGTTATATAGATTGTAGGAATTCACGTCCTTGTTGTGCAAATCCATTTAGTCTTCTGGGAATGGATCTACATACCTTTTAATCTTCTTCCCACGCTAGTTCAACTTGGCTGTCCTCTCCAATGTCTCGCAAACCATCTCCAGGACGGATCTTTGGCCGGATCTAATCAAGCCACCTTAGCAGTGCTGATACTGTAGGTGGAAGGGTTGAAATTAGGAAAATTGGTATTGTTAGGAAAGTAGCTCTACTTGGTGATGATCGTACTAGGTTTGCTGTGTGGACTATAGTGTATATCGGTATTGTATTGGTTAGAGGTGGCGGAGGAGCGTTCATCCTGTTTATTGATGAGGAAGTCATACAAGGCTTTATTGTCTCGTATATCGCCTGATAATCGCATGCCCATGCCACAGATTGCGATGAGGATATTAGTGCCAGATTCTAGAAGCTCAGGTGTCAGTCTGCCGGTCACGGATATCAGGTCATCATCGCCAATTATACGCCTATCCTAGCCATGGCCATTAGATAGAGAGCCATTCAAAGGACCATTTGGGTCGTCATGCAAAGATTTGCGCATGTTGAATGAATCGAAGACTCCGTTTGATGCCGGTTTGGGCACGACGAGTGCAGGATTGGCAGCACCCAAGCATTATGTGAGTCTCGGGGTTTTGCAAAGGAAAAGCTTTCTCCTCAGACACTTCATGCATGTCTTTGTTACAACCGATCTATGGTGCGCGAGATCACTACCTTTTCAAATCCACCCAAACCCCCTCGAAAGGCGACTTACAATCATACACAAGCTCAGAAAGCCCCACCACCGCCCTTTGTGAGATACCAGGATCTCCGCAGCGGAGGTAAATGATAGGTAAAGGATGGTCCGTTTCAGCAGCAACCATATCCCCTAAAACGATTGAAAGTGGAGATATTTTCTTCCTGCTTTCATAAAGCTGGTATTCTTTGTGGGTTGAATTGTTGATCCAGCAATAGTTAGGTTAGTGTATAGCCACTGATTGTTGATGAACAATCACCCACACACAGGCAGTCGTATTGTCGCATGCCAACTCTACCCCTAGATAGTCGGTAAAACTGCTGAACCATTAGAATGAGAACTCCTTTCACATCCACAAGGGGTCTAATTACCACCGAGTAGTTTAATTAACGGTTTGGCCGTAAACACGTATCCCTTGCTTCACTTAGGTTACAAGATATTTGTCTCGCAAGCCCCTTGCCGTTAACTCGCGGCAGCGCGGTTCTCCCGATCTTATGAAAGTTCTGTCAATCATGCATTCAGGTAAATAACTACAGCTGTCAAATTGATAGAATAGGGAAGATTATGGCTCTCAACTTTGTTGAGGGATTTAAATCTGTAATGTTATATTTCGCTGAAGCTAAAGGCCTCTGTTCATTATAACCAAAAGACACAAAATCCAAGGAAATGACCCAAGCAAGGGATTCCGCGATCGTCAAGCCCTCGAATGGATGAGGTATTGTGCAGTCTGTTTTGTTTCTAGTTTTGCGCCTGCAAAGCGTCTCTTCCGGTCACATAATATCCATACGCAGTGACCCGCTTCAGTTGCTCCTGATTTCTCTTGATCTAGAAATGGGAGAAGCTCCATTTTACAGTACTAATATGGAATGTACGGAGAGACTAATTGTTCATTTACCTAGCCTCGTTTGTTTTTCCATGGTCTCCTGAGGATACCAATGCGAAACCTATGTCACTGTATGAGGCCCGGATATCCTGAACTGTGTCACTCATGCACATCAAATTTTATCTAGCGTGGGCAGACTGTCAGGTAGTCGAGATACTGACAGTCATTTTGCTTCCGCAACGCGTATTAAGCCAGTGCCTGTCCAAAAATAGCTACTTCTCTGCAACCCCCCTCCCCCTTCATCGATGATTGATTGTCTTGACATCGAACAGATTATACCCAGGCTTCAAGTCAAGCATTACCGGGGTAGCGGGTGCAATATCCCTCAGCCGCTGTGCAAAAGTTAGTTGAATAAACATGTGGGATCTAAATGCTCTACTGTTAACAATAATCCAAGTCGGAATGACTGCATCTGCTGATCTTTCCTATTTCTTCTCCAACATCTCTTTGAGCATTCCAAGCATATCCTTCTCGCCATTCGCCTTGAAGAGCCTGGGCAGATAGCACCGCTCTTAAATACACAGTAACAACTCCCACATATTGATGGTAGGATTCTGCTTCATCCTAATAGGTTCTCGTCTCATGGTCTTCATATACTTGTGAATCAGGGCCACGGCTTGCCTTGGGGATGGTGCCTTCGTCCCTATGAATTTCCGGGGTCAAGCAATCCCCAGTTCTTGCACAGTTGGATCTTGAAGCGCTGAAATAGATATCACGGCTCGGATTGCTACTTCATTCGCTTCTGTCCTAGCACTGAGCTTGACATAAAGTCTCTCCCAGGGAGTGGTTATTGATGACGCGGTAGGGGATGTCAATGACGACGAACGGGTCGAGCATGAGTCAAGCGGCCACATTGCATTGGTTCTAGTCCATCGTATATGTCACTTTCACTGAGCATGGGTATGGGATGATGGTTCGAGGAGGCATGGGAAAGTTCTCAGGGTCACAGATGGTGTTAGGTCGAGTGAAAGTTAATCTATCGGAACGTGTGAGCATCCTTTCGACTTATTATTATTATTTGAGCATTCCCTACCTATGTTTATGGGTTAGACTAATCGTAATTGAATTACCTGTTGATAAGTCATGGAGTGTTAGTTGTGCATACCGGGCCATATACACCCTGTCAGAGCAACTCATTTTTAATGTAGGAGAGATGGGAGCAGCCCACTATCGATGTCAGAATTGTTCTTTTATAATTCTAATTGTAAGCAAGCATGTTGTATGATACAGTTACAATTTTTATTAGGCGCAGCCAATCCTGACCTGGTATCAGCCCCTTGCAAGTGGGCTGCAGGAAGGGATGCATCTTTCACGAATATGACGTGGTACAGGGGATCATTCTTGAAGATCATACCCCTGTTAATTCGCTTGTAACTGAATTCAATCCAGTTCAGTCCTAGATACAGCGTGTTGAAGCCCCTTGATTCTTTCCTTTTGACCATAAGATGAAAGATCTCTCCACCAACTCGCATGCCCTTGTGTTCCGATCTACCAATTTCTATCTTACATTGTAGTATCAATCTTAGAGATTCATCTGTACATCGTCCGTTCCTTGGGTATGGGATCTCTACTTGTCATATCTGTGGTGGCAGCGGTGGTTCTCCGTTTGCTCTGGACGCTGGCCGTGAACTTTCAGCATAGGCAAAGAGCCCACCGATGGGGTTGCGCCCCACTTCCCACCTACCCTAGTGATCTATTAGGGATTGGCCTCCTCAAGGAGCTCTTGACGGCGCACAAAGCTGATGCAGTCTGTCCGATGCTCGAGCATCGAACTGCGCACATCAGTGCGCGCGAAGGACGCTATGTGACTACCTACGGGTGGACGACCTTGGGTCAGGAGACTTGCTTCACCATCGACCCCGAAAACATCCAAGCGGCTTGCGCGACTCAGTTCAAAGATTTCATTACGGGCGAAGTGCGACTGAAAATTAGTAGCCAGCTCGCTGGTAAGAACATTGTGAGTCTCTCTGCTAGAGTCATCGTCTATTCTGCCTAGGCCCGAAATGTTAATATAGCGCGAGCAGATGTCTGCAGACGGAGAGGAATGGGCGAAGTACCGCGCTATTCTACGTCCCCAGTTTTCTCGCAACCAGATCAGTGACCTGGGTCTCTGTGAACGCCATGTGCAAAACGCAATGTTAGCAATTCCAGCGACCAGAGGGCAGTGGACCGCACCCTTGGATATCCAGGAAATCTTCCGCCGGTTTACCGCTGACTCCTCGACTGAATTTCTCTTCGGGAAAAGCATTGGCAGCCAGATATCTGCCATCACTGGTAGGGAAACAGTAGAGGCCGATTTCGCACGCCATATTGATAAGTGCATGGAATACGTTGGAAAACGGGCTTACTTGGGACCCTTGTACTGGCTGGCCAATAACCAGGAGTCCCGGGCTTCTGAAAGCAAAGTTCACAAATACGTGGATCAATATGTGCAGGACGCTATCAAGGCCTTTCAGGAAGGGAAGCTCCAGGCAGACCCCGAGCGGTCGCCTCAGTACATCTTTCTCCACGCCTTGACTACCGTCACGCAAGATCCTATTGAGCTTCGCAATCATGTTATCAGCTTGCTCATCGGCGGTCGCGACACCACCTCTATCCTGCTCAGCTGGACGGTCCTACTTCTTGCCCGCCATCCGGATGAGTTTCAGAAGCTCCGCGAAGTAGTTCTCTCAGATTTCGGTCCCTACGATACCCCTCGCAACCTCACGTTTCAATCTCTCAGATCCTGTAGCCGTCTGCAATATTGCCTGAATGAGAGCCTTCGGTTGTATCCAGGCATACCAGTCATTAGCCGCATCGCGGTCAAGGATACTACGCTCCCCCGTGGTGGTGGTCCTGACGGCTTGCAACCTATCTATGTGCGCAAAGGTCAGCAGATTGTGGGCGGCATATATCCCTTGCATCGGCGCAGGGATCTATGGGGCCCCGATGCTGATTATTTTAAGCCTAGCCGGTGGGATGGTCGTAAAACATCATGGGAGTATCTTCCTTTCAATGGAGGACCAAGGAGATGCATCGGACAGGAGTTCGCCTTGACGGAAGCGGGATATGCCCTTGTTCGCTTGGTCCAGCGGTTTGATGGGCTGGAAGATGTTAACGCAGACGAAGAGATTAAACAAAGGCTGACCTTGACGAGTTCTCCTGCGCAGGGTGTTACTGTTCGGTTGCATGCGCCACAAGGATGAATGAATCAGTAGAGCCTGACGTCTCAATCTGCCTATCTTGTTGACCCCGAAATGATGTAAACAAGATGAGCAATGGCTTTGTGGATAAATATACATGCACATATCATGTCAACATAACGATAAAAATCAAGGAAAGGTGCTAATACCATGGGAACTCCAAGCTCCAATGACAATGCTTCACCACGACGAGGAAAGTTTATAAGTATATTATAGACCCGATTTATAGAGCTACCTAATTTACAGTAACAAGAGAAATTAAGAAAGTAAGTATATAAGAACAATACTTCTGTACAATAAGGGTTTGAAACTATTCAGGTGATATAATAATATGATATACGTATAGCTTCTTGGGATTAGGCAAAATCAATAAATCGATTCTCTTGTACCCTTTGATAAAATATGAAAAAGTCACAAGTCCTCCTTAACAGGCTCCAATAGATTTCCATATAACTTTACACGGCCATACTTTATATGCCACAACAACGCTTTCACACATATATTCAATTGCCGCCTGTCCTAAATAGTAATATTATAGCTACGTGAAGACTGACTGGTCTGGAGGGCTCTTCGCTATGGCACGGTAAACTGCCTTGGGCACAACTATATATAGATCTATCCTCAACTAGATTCATCCAGTAGTATTGTCACGGATGGAAAAGGGGCTACATAATGTCCCAAAACCCAGATCCACCAGATCACGTTGGGTAGATTGATCAGATCTCTAATCTTATCTTTTAAGTCCCCTAGACGAATGTGTTTGGTTCCTCGAATCCCGGGATTTAACTGAAAAGCTCCCCTAGCCAATCAATGCAATTAGGACCTCCATATATTATCCCTGTGCTTAGGAAATATATGCTACAGAGTCAATATATAGTTCAATACAGCCCCTAGGATCGAGGAATAGGACGGATATTTAGTAGCTAATGTTTTTGAGCAGAGGTTCAACTTTTGCAATCACATAAAAAAGAAACATTGTGTGAGAGAACGCCCAGCATACCATTATTCATGGCGGATACAAAGGAAGGATACATATCCACAGGAATGGCCAAGCGTCGTAAAGTCTGCCTTAAATATCCAGTAACGTTGACAGAATATAAGAAGCTGTAATGCCCACCTACCTGGACGAGAAGGTCATACAAGCATATTAGTGGATTAGGGGTTGGGCACAGTTGCCAAGTAATAAATATGCAAAAGAAGAAGTGAGAATACGTGTACCTTCGAGATATTAGACATGAAGGACAAAGTCTAACTCTATATACAATCTTCCTTGTACACGGTCTTACACCCAGGGAACACTACATGTGATAGAGATACACCAAATGCATCCTAGAGGCAACAATGCCTCCTCAAAAGGACTCTGTCTCCCAACCCGTTATGATTGCGGCATTGTTAAAATGGCTGTGATTAAAGGAAGAGGCAGGCAGTACAGAAACGCCAAGAGATACAATCTGTAATCAAGGGAGTTCTCTGCGTAATCAACGGATATCTCACTCACCAAAGTGATGGTGTTAAACATCCCAAACAATTGCTTCACTGCGAATCTAATCCATGGAGACTTGTATATAGTCAGGAAAAGGCTGTCACGATGTGATGGTTCCAAAATAAGTTCATCATCCAGCGTGCGTATCGCCCCGCAAACAGCTTGCTGAAGTAGCCAGGTAAAGATCACTATGATTGGCAACTTATTGAACAGGAAATTCAGCACCTGCCAGACGCTTGAGACAGCTAAACGGAAACTGCGGATGTGGGTTGGGATCAGCTTCTGTACTTGAAACCAAAGAACATGTGGAATGTGCGAAGTGGGTTAAACATCAATAGTAAACAGCGGAATTCTGGCGACACTCTGAAGTGTGGCTTTAGAGTAAAGAATATCTTTGCCTAATCAAATAGAGTTGGAAGCATTCTCCGATGTGGATAGCTTATTATAGATTTCTGAATTTGTAGACTCATAGGGCACACTGATCAAGAATGTTTCTTGTATTATCTTATATAGGGAAGAACCTACTCCAGGCAGCTCGGTCAAGCTGAAATAAAGTACAACTTTGCAGATCTTTTCCTCAGAAGTAAGAAGCAAAGCTATATTTCCTGTGTATAGTGATAGCTCTGGGGAAATTATTGTATAGTTTAGTAGAAAATAATATATGATCATATTTCGCTCTTGGGGAGATAGCTCCTGCACAGAAAATGTATCCAGAATAATCCGTATACAAATGCTGCTTCCAGGGAAAAAAAACCTATCCATATATAGCTCCTCTTCTAGGTAGTCGTCCAAGAAAAGATAAATTTCTTTTGTGGACCGCCGAGACCAAGTTCTATAGTCGACGCATTGAACCCTATCTTCCACTCTACTGTATATATTTTCCTGAATTTGCTTGATAGAAATAGCTAAACCAATAGTAGGATTTTGACTCAGTCGATGTTGCAACAGCGCGAGGTCCGGCTTGCGTTGGGAGGGCTTGCTGTGGGGGACTGGGAGAAACAATGTGCAACCCCTTGTTCGTCACGGAAAGGGAAAAGTTATCACCATGTTCGGCGACTATATACAGGATAATACTCTCACGATCCCTGAAGGCAGCTGGTGAACGAGCCAGAATTCCCAATCTTTCTTCTTCCTCATGCCTCTGACTGACGCGATGAGATTGGTTACGTTGATAGCTTCTCCAGGGTTCCAAAACACCCCAGGCAAGAATAGGTTGTTGGATGCTTTAATTATTTCTTCCTGAAGTATTCGGAAGGCCCTCTTACCTTTACTGTATATCAGGGACATGTTTATTCCGATGATCTCGAGAAGACAATATGCCATATCTTCTGTACAGGTAGTTTTGCGAGACAAAGCCCAACTCATTCTCTCGGCAATATTTGCTTGGTGTAGGATAGAGGAAAAGGGTCTTTGCAGTGTATCCCCATCCACATAATCAAGCTGGCTATCTGGTTTCGAATATATGGAAAGAGTAGCATATCTAGTTGTCCTACTGGAGAGGAGCCTTATATCTACCCCTATAATAATATGAAGTGCTTTGTCCAGTTCTATCTTACTCGCAATCTGTGACCAGTCGGATATATAGAAGACCATATATTCCGGAACCAATAGCTCTTATAGTATCCACCCTCTTGTAAAGCAACAACCTTTCACAAAAGAACCTTAATAATTTTAGGGATCAGAACCGGGTGGTATATCAACCAGAAAGGTATAGTAAACTGTAGCCCTCCCGCACCAACAGAACATAGAGTTGATTGCCTCTGAAAGCTCGGAGCTGCTGCTTTTATCGATATAACAGATGTCAACCTATACATATTCAAGTCCATCCTTTAGGGCTTGCTGGCAGGTGTTCAGAAATTTCTCATATCCTTTCCGCCTTGCACAGACCTCCTGCGGTTGCTGAATTTGTTGGAAGCTGACTTCCTCATCTTCCTACGTGTGTGAGGATAGCGTATGGAGGAGCCTCGCTTTCGAAGAACTCTAATGTGACTGTTCTAGCATTCTAGAGCCACATGGCTTGTGGGATTATAGTGATATGATGGGTAAATTAAATGCTAAGTTGGTAGTGCGCTTTCCCATTGTTCACCTAAGTATGTGTTATGAGAGATTTTGTTTCTTGATAGCTTTGCTGTATGTTGAAGATGGGGCCGATAATGGCGCGTTGCGCTTAGCCTCGCGTTCAGCCTTGTCCATCTTTCTCCATTGATTGGCTAGCAAACCATGAGGCTTAGAGAGTAAACGTTACCTATTCGAAAGGTAGCATGCATCCGGGCGCCGGGCTATCTGCCAGGCACTTATGGGGGAGTGATCGCCTGGACCACTGCGGATGGCATCCTCGCCATGATGAACGCGGGATGGAAATCTGTGAACCGCATCAAGTTTAAATTCACATGATGCTTCATATACAACATCTTTGCAGTCCGTCTTGCTGCGCATGTTATTGTCAACGCGACAGCTCTTTCAGAGCCTGTGGGGCTGGGAGAGTTGGTGAGAGTGCTGCCAATTATTGTTGCTGCAGTGCTTCTGCGCTGGTCGAAACTGGTTATATGTTACGGGGGTATGAGAAAGCCATCCAGCAGATCAGTGAGACTCTGCACATCTTCATGAGATTTGCTACATTCCTGACGCCTCAACTACTCAGCTACTAGCGTTGTTTTCGAAAGCTTTCACAAAGCCGCATTTTGCCACATGCTACAAACTGACTCGTGGTTCAAGGCGTGCTTTCTTGATGCACACGCTGAAGAATTGCAAGCATACATAATGGCGCTGCTAGACCCCTTGATAAACTCAGTTGAGCTGCAAACGCAAGATGGGGGTATTCATCGGGAGCTTAAAGCTCTGAAGTCTGAGGTGCTTTCCTGGCGAGTTCAATGTTGCCCAGCTGATGGTATACGATATGAGGTCGTCCAATTTAAGCCGGGTGAACTCTTCGACCTTGCTTTGATGGAAGCGCAAGATGCTGCAGGCAGTCAAGTCTCAGTTCCCGACAGACACTGTCCCATCAAGTTATGTGTACATGGTTTGGTAATGGATCACACGATCAAGATAGAATCATCCAACTTACAGAAGGTCAAGTTTAGTAAGCCTTTCCAGACTGTCACGTACCCAAGACAGGAAAAAGGACAGTAGCTGGTGAAATTGCCAGTGGCACAGCAATTGTAATCCTTCAAGACCTAGCCGATGTTAGTAGCTAATATATCTACATGTTGAACAAGTAAAAAGATAAAAATGCATAAATTGAATGACACCATGAAACAGGTATAACATATTAAGCTTGAAATTACAAGCAGTGATAGTCAAAGGTACATAGAGAGCTACTGGCCTTCCGTAGGTACAGGAGGCCACTATGCTCCTTACATACAGGTAGTAGTATCCCGAGTGGATTGATTCTGTCTGTAGCGGTTGTAGCTCGCGTACGGCGGTAGCTATGGGGTTAATATACCTACCGACCCCTATACTTTGGGGATAGGACTGCGGGCAGCAGATCGATTAACTTGCGTTTGTAATACCGGCTCGGATACGGCTGAGCGGACCGCGGCTAGATATGGCCGTTTCAAAATAAAGGACCTCCTTTCCAAATATAGTGCAGATATGAACGACAATGCGACCTTGTGCTCCATCGGCGTCGGCAACGCCGATGCTATCGGCAGGCTGCCGACCACCAAGCCAACCTTCGGGTACCAAGCCGAAGCACGCCTAATACTTTCTCATAGGCGGCTGGTCCACTGGATACCTAAAGAAAATAATAATCGTCCTGTATGGATCATATCTTGGTAAATCCCCAAGGATTGGTTTACTTTGTGGGGAACTGGGCTCGTCAATACGACCCTCTAAATTATGATATGCAATCCTTTGCGACGAAACGATGATCTACTGCAGGGGAAATTAAAGAAAGGCACATGGAAGAGAACTTCATTTTGGCCCCTGTCGGGCCCTGGGTCTCATAAAATGACCGTGGACTTGGATGATATAAAGACGCTTACGATGAGCATGGAGAGCTTGAAAGGAAGCATCCCAATTCTTCATCTTGCCTCGACAATACAAGATGCATCTTGTACGCGCTTGGCTGGCTTCGTGGCTTGTGCTACACGCCCAGAAGGGTCTGTCTCTGGTATTCGAGGAAATCAGCCATCTGCAAGTAGAACCGCATCCTCTAACTCTTCGTGGATCTGAATACTCGAACCTTGATCTACTCAAGCAGGATTCATTCTATTACAGTGGTAGGTGCGACTTCGGGTGTCTGGATAATAACCACTTACCTATCTTTACTTTCAGGGAAACAAGATGGCCAGTCATCTTTTGCCAACTTCACAGTCTCACTTACCGGCGAGCAAGAGAACATTGTTTCCATGGAGCGTTTTGGGAAACTGCTCGAATCTGTTCACTGCACCGACACTAGTGTTACGGTAAACTTCAAAGAGGAGCAAGCTTTTACCTACGCAGAGCAAGCCTGGGAATGGGTCAATGATATGGATGACCGCACATTTGTATTAGTGATTGCAAAGGGATCCTGCAATGGGAACACCAACAGGCTTCCATTCATTGTTTCTAACGTTACGTACGACAAAAGCACCAAGACAACGAAGCTTCAGGGTAAACGCTCAAGCTGGAACGAGATCGCACATAGCTATGAGCTCAATATAGGCAAACAAAGAGCCTCTTCCTCCGCAGCAAGGCGTGATATTGACAGGTCGGCATCTCTGGACTTCAACCAAGTTATACCGGTGAAAAGTGGAAAACTCCCGGTTGACAGCGTTGATGTTACCTGGGAATGTGCAGACTGCAGCACGCAGGGTGCTTTTGAACTTGATTTTCATGTGAAGACTGTTGCTGGAATTCCCAAGACGGGAAGCTTGAGCCTTAGCCCCAACGATGTATCAGCCACCTTTATGCCACGAGTTGCACTGGATGGTGACCTTAAGAACCAAAAGAGCGGCGAGGTTGACCTCGGGAGGATTCCCCTTAGTGGTATCTCCATTCCAGGGGGTATCCTGAACATCGGGCCTCAGATTGTTTTCAGTCTCGGATATATGATGGGCCCATTGACTGGCTCTGCTACAGTCACGGCTGGGATTACTGCCAACCTCAATGATTCTGCTGTGGTATCTATAGACCTTGAATCACGTAGTGTGGAATCAAATGGCTGGACGCCTTCGGTTGAGCCAATTCCAGTGGCAGTTGACGCGGAGATCGAGGGTGCGATTGAGCTGCATCCTAAAGCATCATTGCAGATTTCTGCCCAGGTGATAGGTAATATATCCACTCAAGGAATAAAGATTCCAGGCTAACAAACATAGGCAAGGGAGTCGAGGTCGGTCTCAATTTGAAACCGAGTCTTGCTGCGACTATGGCTGTTGTACATTGTAAGCACATGCCGATATATACATCTTGATTCTTGAAATACTAACATATCACAGCAACTGATGGAGCCTGCCCTGATGATTCCAAACACCGAGAGAATGGCGTCACGGTCGACCCATCGGCGAGTGTTAGTCTCAATTTTGAAGCCACCTTTGGCGATGACAACGGGGAACCGGATGTTAATCAAATCCTTGCGGTATGTGGCACCTAGTACTCCGAAAGGTCGGACGTTAACAACTTGGACGTACAGGAATACACTGCGCCACTTGAATCACAATGTTACCCTCTTGGTGCTGAGTCTAGCAGTAGCGCGACTCCCTCAGGAAGTCCAACCCCGTCCAGCAGTGTCCATCCAACTGTTCCAGCAATCCCATCCTCTTCCTCACCTACGCCAACAGTGTCTACTACCCCTTCATCGGCTCCACCAAGCTCATCAACATCCCTGTCTTCCTCCATCCCTCCGTCCACCTCGTCAACAACTCAGCCAAGCAAACGCGCGCACCACCACCGACGTATGGGCTCTCATCGGCGACATGGTGTTTTGTAAAGGGATAGCCCTCTAACAACTCTGTGCACCCCGAAGGACAGTCCCCTACTGTTGCTCATCGCTATTTCTGGTTAATCAATTTCTGTCCTGGACCTCCTTTCGTTTTGTTCCGCGGATTCATACGATTAATCCTTGTTGCTTCCCTTGTTGTATTATACAGAGATCTTCGATGTCATCTTCTCTTACCTAATCAAATTTCACTGTTGCTTTGTCGTTTCCACTAGTCCCTTAAACAAGTAAACACTGGATAGGTCTAAGTACAACATATAAAATGTTCAATAAAATTAAAAGAAATAAATTTCTATAAACAGCCAGTAAATAACCCACAACCCAACAAATTCGGACTATTAGCGCCTTGAGACTTCCAACATGTCAATCATAACTTTGACGTAACCTGCCAATTATCTCAGCAAACTCAGACCCTCCATCAGGCAATAACCATGCTCCTATGAACATAGACCAATATGTTTTAACTGACCTGTCCTACTGTCGTGGATTCAAATCCCCCGTTCGGATGGATCAGTACCTTTGTATACCCGTCCTCTCTTTTATCAAACTTCTCGTACGCAACTTCCGCATGGTCGAGCCTGATCTCATGGGAGACGACAAAGCTAGGCTTGGCCTTGCCAGCGATAATCAGGTCTCTCAGGTACCGGTTATATGCTTTCACATTGCATTGGCCAGTAGCAAGCGATAGACCCTGCAGCAAGTTAGGAATGCGAACATGTCGATGTCAAGGAAAAAGTACTTTCCTTCTCGAATAGCTTTCCAAAACTGAGACTAATTGCGCCCTTGGCGGCAACCTCATCAGATGCACCCGGGTCACTAGTGAACGAGAAGATTAGCCCCATAAGATTATGATAGGGTTTGAGTGAGACCGCTAACCTTGGCACGTAAAGTCCAGGGATCCCCATGCCTCCGCAGGCCCTTGTGACACGGATCATGTTCTCAAGCACAATGTTGGGCTTTTCCTTCGAGCCACTGGTGTCGACGGCCTGGTAGCCGACAGCATCCACCGAGCGGTCGACCTCTCCGCCGTTGAGACGAATGATTTGGTCCACGGCATCGCCCTTGGTGAAGTCAATTGGGGTACAGCCGATCTTCTCTGCAACAGCCAGTCTCTCTGGAACACGGTCTACAACGAAGACGCGAGAGGCTCCACGTAGCTGGGCTGAGTAGGCTGCCATCAAGCCAACGGGACCAGCACCAAACACAGCAATGCTTTCTCCTGACTTGAAGCCAGAAATCTCGACACCATGCCAACCTTATAGTTTATCGTTAATACAGAGGCTCCGGGGGAGGGTGATCGTGTGAATCCATACCTGTCGGGAAAATATCTACAGCACTGGGTTAATAAATAGGGTAAATAAGTTAAATAACGTTGGCGACTCACCTGCGAGGAGAACAAAGTCGGCTTCGTGCTCCGTGCCCGGCGGCAACAGCAGAGCGTTAAAGTCGGCGTACGGGACTCGGATGTACTGAGCCTGGCCTTCACATTCCAATCAGATCAACTCGCCAACGTTTTTGTCTTGGGATCACCTAAAGCACATACCTCCGCGATATGGCCCCATAGCCACATAGCCTGCTGGAGATTAGTAAAAAAGAAATCGTATACATCTGTGTCAATGTATTACCATAAGCACCACCTGCAAATCCGGGGTTGACCCCAGTGCAGAACGCAGTTTTGCCTTCATCACAGTTGCGGCATCGACCATCCGCAACATTGAATGGCATGACAACGCGATCTCCCTTCTTCAACAGTGTAACACCTTCTCCTAGTTCCTCGACGATACCCATGTTTTCGTGACCTTTTATGACTCATCAGTAACAGCCACTGTGCTATTTCCATGTTTTCGTACCAAATGTAATACCCGGCTCGGCGGCGGTTCTCCCTTCATACATGCTGAAGCATCATAAGTTTTCTGTGCATTTTTTCGACACTCTTCACCCCCCAAAAGTATACTTACTGCAGGTCAGAGCCGCAAATAGCAGCCTATCTCATGGGTTAGTAAGGATCCCCTGTGCGCGGCAATGTTGGTAACCCACCGTCGTGACCTTGACAATGATATCGTCCGGATGTTCCAGCTTGGGCATCTCAACCTCTTGGACCCGGACCTTATGAGGGCCGACATAATTAACCGCTTTCATAGTGTTTGGGGCCATTGCGACAGACTCGATTGAAAGGAAAGGAGATGACAATCCAGGTCGGTAAAAAACAGTTATCGCGTGCGAGGAAAAAGTCGCGGTGCGATCAATAGGCATTTTATACTCCAAGAGCTACCCCGCATCGCTATCAAGGCCAGCTATACTAATGCAATGCTATCGACTTAGTCGAATTACTTCAATAGAATTTATTTTCCCCTCACGGCCAAGCTTTAGGAGATAATCTCCGTAAAAAGTAAGGTGGGGACTCTTCTGCCGTTCTCGGCATCTTTCCCCGATGCTTGATGGGGAAAGATTTCCCCACTTAGACGATCTCCGATGCCCTAATCTCGACAGATGGCGTCAACGGACCCGCTGCGTGGTTCTTTACTCTTTCGATCTTGCTTCTTCCCCTCATACTATTGTTTGTCTTGAGGTAGAAATAAAGCATCTTTCCCAGTCTGCGATGATGTTGCGTACTAAAGGCAACATCAATTCCTACCTTCGTTTGGCTTTGACCGGTTTACAGACCTGTTACCACTAAGGGAACAATCACAATGTCACAAATCCTCCGATTCCGCTCCACGTGGGGTGTTGACACAGGCGATAACTACGAGAACTGGGCAAAGTGGCTTCCGACCTTGAAAGATCAAGGTTATGGTAAGAGACGTGAGGGTTCCCCCGGAGCAGCAGTCGACTAACGAGGTTCTGTGCGATCTTAGTGGGAATTGAAGTTGACATAGCTCCTCTGCCCAACGTCTCCACGATCCGTCGCATTTGCGATGAAGTCGGCCTAGAAATCTGTGTTATGTGAGTCTCTTGCACATGTGAACTCCACTCAACTTAGCCCTCACGGTCATCTCTACAATGTAAACAACAACTCTAACACCACACCCCAAGGATCCATTCCAAATGGCCCTGTTATGCAGGTCCGAAGCCAGTGGGCCTGACTCCAAAAGATCATCTTGAAAACTATCGGGCCCAGCTCGAGATTGCCAAAACTCTTAAGCCATTCAAGATTAACGCACACTCTGGCGAGTACGGTTCCCAACCCATACCTCATAACGGGGAGGTGACATTGACCACGAGCATAGTGATGGGTGGTCAACTGACCAGGCCGTTGAATTCTTCACGGGTACTCTCGCCATTGATGCCGAACTCGGACTGCAAGGTATGGTGAGCCATGAAACTCATAGAAACCGGGTATTTTTCAATCCCTACTCTACCGTAGCAGTCTTGAAAAGGGTCCCAAGGTAATACAAGCCGCCCACTAGTAGACTTTCATGAAACGTCAGCTAACGATTGATCCAAGCCTGCAAGTTACGGCCGATTTCTCCCATTTTGTTGTCGCCTGCGAACGTCTTCTTGATCAGGGCGAGGAGGACAAGGAACTTCTCCGCACTATCATTCCTCGTGTTAGTTTCCCTTTTCCATCGGAGCTATCTTCCACGTTCTGACATGTGTTTCCCTCTAGGTGACCCATATCCATGCCAGAATGGGGACAACGCAGTCGTCACAATGCCCAGAGCCAACCAACGACGTGTTCAAAGAGGAACGACGATTCTTTGAAGATTCCTGGAAACAGATTATTCAGTCAATTGTCCAACGTAACGCATCTCCGGTTACTTTTGTGCCTGAATACGGGTATGTGGTCCTGTTTTCAGCCCAAAGTCATCACTATGCCTTCAAAAACTGCATTATCCTTCCATCTAGATGCTTTGTCTGCGCATGTGCTAACATATTCTATGACACTTAGACCATTCCCATACCATCCCTTCGGCGCTGCCGCCAGCTACTCCGACGTTGCTGATAGTGAAGGTCGTCGCCTTCAGACCCTCTTCGAGACATTCGCCAAGGAGGCAGCCTCCTCGTAAGCGGTGGTGGGGGGGTTAAGTTTAACGCTTGAAATATTACTATAGATTAGAGGTCGGATAAGATTTTATGAGATAAATACATGACTATGAAAATTAAAGTATTTGATAATTGCTAAATTCCTACTTCTACATCCAACAATCACAACAAAGTACAAGCAGTTTGGAGAAGTATACAGATTTCAATCAAGTCCATCTGCGTTATGTAGAATCTCTAGATTAATCTGATTTGCTATTGAATTGCTACTATTTAATAAACTCGGTCAACGTACAAATCAAGACTACTATTAATCATGTAAAATTGAAATTATACATATAATGTCATGAATGCTCGTAAGCACTTAGGTATAGACGCGAGCATAGGTTAGAAATTTAATGCATGAGCGGAAGAAAGTGATTTCAAGAAGTTCGAGAGAAAAGATAGAAGAGAAAAGGAAAAAAAGAAAAAAAAAAAAAAAGGAAAGAAAAAAGAAATAAAATATACAATCACTTCTCGCAGGATTTCTTCAAAATATAGTTAACTCACATAAAGTAATAGCTTTACTATTGTATTAGGTAGAACCTATCGGACCACAGTAGAACATATTCAGAATAAGCTAAGCATGGAAATGATAAACTACGCCAGGGGTAAATTAAAAATTGCTCATAGAGAGAGACAAAATATTTGAGGCGAAAGATCTCAGGCCAACTTAAAATGTAGAAACATATGTGAAGTTCGAATGATTTTTGTTATATAAAAGATAGAAGATACACTATTGAAGCCGATATCAACCCATCGCGTACATATGAAGTATTGCTAGGCTGACTGCGGCCTTGCTTTATGCTTCAGTACGAGTGTAGTGCGTAGTGTGGTTTGCTTTAAGGCCACTTGTATGGAGATGCCCGGCGTTTCAATTAATGCTCGTGTTACCGTTGAGGATGTCGTCCTAGGCGTTGTAATGTGCTGGGTGAAGGTATTTTGACTGGTCATGATAGGGGGGACAGAGGTGGCGTAGTGCTCCAACTGATAAACGTGGTTCCCATCATTTTTGTGCTATCTATATGGAGAACAACCCCGAGGGAAAAAAAGGAATTCAGGTGTCCTATCAGTAAAGGTCGTCTTCCTTATGGGTGGAAATGACACAGTCGCTGGTGGGGTAAGCGACACAGAGTAAGACGAATCCAGCTTCTATTTGGTCGTCGTCGAGAAACGATTGATCTTCCTGATTAATTGTGCCAGAAATGATCTTTCCAGCGCAGGTGGAACATGCGCCTGCACGGCATGAATAAGGCAAGTCAATGCCTTGTTCCTCGGCTGCATCCAGGATGTATGCATCCTCATCACAATCAATGGTGAATTTCCCATCAGGGGTCTCCAAGGTAACTTTATAAGACATCGTAATCGGTGATAAGAGAGGACAGGTTCTCAGTAGGTGCTGCGGCGGATGAGGTGTGCGGAAAATAGAGGCAACTGTGGACAACGATGTTTATTCTCAAGCGGGGTTTTTGGGGTTTTTGAATCTTCCTTTCCCTAATAGAAAGGATATCGACCCTAGTCAATGATACCCCTCAAATTGTAACGTCTTTGATCCAGTGGGTACGTCTCTGAAGATCAGCGCGATTTGGATAGGACAATTGTGGACGTGGCACCATAGACGAAATGTTGATCTAAACAGTGGATCTGTCTGGACGTCGCTTACTATCGTGGACCATAAATATATTTCGCCCTCCAGCCTCAGCTGCGAATAGTCCCGCCAGAGACTGCCAGAGTGACGCATAGTGGCGGTTGAGTCGACGATACAAAAGTTGGAATTTGGTTCCACTTCTTCAAGAGTACAGCAGGACTATATCAGGATAGGAGATGGATCTGCAATACGCAAGGCAGCTGAGAGATCTTCCATCTTTTTCCTCATTTCTGCAGATGCGAAGAACGAGGCTTACATATTCACAAACTATGATTGGTCCACGTTATACGAGTTCGGAGGAATCATCCTAGTGCGCCGATGGTAAGAGGAGCGTGCGGCAGATCCGTGATCATTATGGTACCAAGAAGCAAGTATTAACCGCAGTGAACTGTTTCAAGCTAACCAATGGGATGCTGAGCAATCGTCCAACGATGCCCCGATGCCAACAGGGTTCCTATGTGGGAGATGATATCGACGGTGTGCTCGAAATAGGAGCTCAGCGTGTCTGGTATCGCCCATTCCCTTTGATTGACTACGAGGGCTTTCTTTTTGGAGCTCATTTGTCTCAATTCCCGCATAGCAATTTTAGCTTCAGTTCACCTCTTTGACCTTCAACTTCTTCTCTCTTTTCAGATACCTTTGCATAGTGGGAGGCACGTTGACACCATGTCAAGTCTCACTGAAATCGCCTCCAAAGCCGACTACTCAGCGCACCTGGCCGCCCTCTCACCCTCTGCACTCCTTATCCTCTATTTCTACACTCCATGGACCGTGTTCAAGACCCAAATGACCGCTGGCCTAACCGACCTTGCCTCGCAGTACCCCGCCAGTACCCCGCCAACCATCTCGTTTGTCAGCATCGATGCCAAAGGGCTGCTTGACATTGCAAAGGAATATGGCGTCCGCATAGCCCCTTGTGTCGTTTGCCTGCGTAATGGTCTAGTCCTCGAGTCCATTCGAGGCGACGACCCCAGTATGGTCCGCAGTGCTATCGAACGCTATACTGGCATCAAGGCTCTCCCCATCCCCGCCGCCCCAGCTCTTACCCCGGAACAGCTGAAACAGTCCAAGGAGGCTCTAGTCACCCGTCTTACCGAGCTGGTCAAGGCTGCCCCTGTTATGCTATTCATGAAAGGTACACCCAAGTCGCCTCAGTGCCGTTTTAGTCGACGGTTGGTTCGGATTTTAGATGAGCACAGCATCGAATATGGTTCCTATAATGTCATGGCCGATGAGGATATTAGACAGGGCCTGAAAGAATTTGGTGACTGGCCTACGTTCCCTCAACTATGGGTTGACGGTGAGCTGGTTGGTGGACTCGAGATTGTCAGTATCTGTAACTTGTCTAGTTCTAACACATCGTTGCTAACCCCGTATTTCAGGTCCGCGAGGAACTTAGCACCAATCCTAACTTTATGTGCCAGTATTTGGTCAACAAGCCACCAAATAGGGGCAGTTTGGGTAATACGCATGAAGAAAGTAAATTTCCGCCCAGTCAACCATGCCTTGAAGTATAGGCAACACAGATCGTCCTGCAATAAACTATTCTAATAAAACACCCCGACAGAGACGGACCTTAGCTAGCGTTCTAAGGTGGACTAAATCGGTTCAAATTGATTGATTAATTAATTGAAATAAATCCTGAAAATTTTGGAATTCAAATCCGACCCAATTGCAACTCTAGATGAGACAGTCAAGGGTTCAGAGCAGAACGGGCCAAGTAAACTACAACCCTTTCTGATAACCTGGAAGGTTATATGGTGGCCTGTCACTTAATGCCCTCCTCCTATTCAACGCCATCATGAACCACCAGATCCCGACCGTCTCTCAGAGTCCGTACGTCCAGCTTACTTTTCCGAATCAACTCTGATAAACTCCCAGACAGTCCCACCCTCTCGTTGCGCGTCCACCGTTAACTCCCGGTCATCTTTCCCCCCGGTGCTCATCGGCAAAAACTCATTCCAGTGCTTCACCAGCAAGATATGTCCGCCATCTGGGTGCTGACGCGCACAAAACCATTCCCACTCATCATGCCGCTCTGCTTTAGCCTGGAACCGCCAGTTGCTCTTCCGATTATCATGCCCAATATATGTACCAGAGACTGCGTTATAGAAGCCGAGCCACATACGGTCGTTCTCCACACAATGCCAGTGACTGCCACGACCGTAGTGATATAGGCTTTCCACTTCGTTTGCTTCCGGGTACAGGCCCAAGACACCCTTCTCTAGGGCTATGACGAGCTGGGTCTTGGGGTCGCGGATGATGTACGTGCCTCCTTTCCAGGGACACACCCCTACTTGACTTTGGTTCACGCTTGAATAGCTCGGCAAGGCAAAATCTGGGTGTGTATATTCTGGTATGTTGCCATCATGCTGCGGCGCGCCATACTCATCGCTGGAGATGTGAGATAAAGTATCATGTGTGGGTGTGTTATATCCACCGTCATCCGAGGCGACGGACGACGGCTCGGAGCTTCTCGTGGGAGTGTCCATATCACACTCGTCCTGTGTATCTGCAACTAATAAAGAAGAAACTAGAGATTAAGATGCTCAGCGTAGACCGATGTTATTTGAGGATCGATGCTTTCTCTTGCGTTCGACAGGCGATCTGGAGCAACAACGCATAGAAGATGATGCATAGGTGGGGCAAGTGGAGAGCTTCCGGCCGACGCACTAAGCCTTTTTTAGATCAAGTCTCTTCTACTACCCGAAATTCATTTGATAATTGGCAAATAAAATAGGCCATATTGAAATAAGCTATAGTTATACTATCGGTCTAGCCTCTAGGATATGCTTGGTAGAAAGCAATCAAGCATAATTGGCCCTTTTGTTCCTGTGGCATAGCTATGACCGCCGCTGAGATCACCGACAAATTTGGTCTTCAAGGTCTTAGATGACGAACCTGAATAAATTGATTTCGATTATATCTCCTAATTCTCTTCACCGCAGGGCAAAAATAATATATATCTAGTATACTGGCGACGGAGTTCGTAATGTTCACGGACGCCCGGTATGCCATACTGGGTTGTCAAAAGGGGAGTGTCCATAACCATGGTCTCTCTATATCCGGAGTAATAATTACATTGCCTATAGTTTCAGATAAAAACAACATTGCCTATGCTTTCAGAAACAAACCGAGACTAGCATAATTATTTCCAAATTCTGGTAAAATAAGACTCTGACCTTCATATTTATACCTCATCAGCGCTAGCGAAGCCTTAAAAAAGTCATGAAAATCTCAAGACACTTTCGAAACTACTCCAAATCATACCCTAATATCACCCGACTTAACTTGCACCGCAGTTCCCCGAAGCTCAACACTCTCTACCTTGCTCTTATCCTCCCCATTCAGAGTAACAGCAACACCGATATCACTCCTCCTCCCCATTTCCACTCCCTGCACAATATCATAATCATACGCAGTCTCGCTCGACTCCCCACTCCGAGTTAAAGTCAAATACGCAGCCAATCCACTCGCCGCACTCCCCGTAGCCGGATCCTCAAAATTCCTCAAGAACATCCGCGACCGGATAACCGTCTTCCCAGTCTTCTCATCATAAACCCCCGGAACAAAGAAATACACGACAATCAAACCATCCCCTTCCCACCCAGCATCCAGATACCCACCCTGAGCCACCGAAGTACAAGGAACAACCTCCCCACTCACCGGCCCCTCAGCCGCAGCCAAAGCCTCCAAACTAGGTAACTGAACATGCACCTGACTCATGCCCTTCACAATCGAGAAAACCGGGAATCCCGCAGTATCATCCCCCCCAAGATAAGGTCTCAGGGAAGGATGAAGCCGCAGCAGTTCCGCCACCGGGAACCGTTTCGAATGGATATGCACATTATGCGCGATCTTAGCAGCAACGGTACCCGAGTTCGGGACGCGGGTCATGGCGAACGGACCCGCTTTTGTCATGAGAGTTTGCACATTCGTGCGATCGTCATTGTCGGGCGAGAGTTCCAGGAACCATGTTACTGCGCCGATGGTGGGATGACCCGCGAAGGGGAGTTCTTCGGCTGTGGTGAAGATGTCGATTTTTCTGGTGGGGTCGGCTTTCTCGTGCGGGTGCACGAAGATCGTCTCCGGGTAGTTGAATTCGCGGGCTATTAGTTGCTTTTTCTCTTGCGTGATGGCATTTTCTGGGTCGTTGGGGAGGAAGACTACGCCTAGGGGGTTGCCTAGGAAGGGTTCGGTAGTGAAGACGTCGAGGGTGACGAAGCGTAGAGTCTGGGGCATGATGGCGTGGGATCAATGGAATAGTTATGTTTTGTTTGAGGTGAGGAGGGATGGTTGGCGGGGAAAATGATGATTTAATAGACTCGGAGTCCTTTTTTCCTCCCCGTTTGACTCATTGACACGGCCCGGAACCCTGCAGAACTTTCGGCATCTCCGGGGCCCCACTCGGTACCACTCCGCGAGATTCTGCAGGGCATACAACAACTAAAAAGCTTTCGTAACAGTATCATACGGGTCTTTTGATGGAAATATCATAGAGCGGTTCAAGTTATGTACATAATCTACCCGACCTCGTTTAGGTAGTTCCCTTTATTACTATGTTCTACTACTAAATCACCAATGTCCCATCGCCAATATTAACCGGGTACTGATCTAGGAACGTAGGATATCCCATGTCATTCATGATTGGGATGTCGGGTGCCCAGTCCGGAAATTGGCTGAAAAAGGACTGGTCTTGGAAACCCAAGAACCCATCCATATTCGCAGGGTTATCGGTGGTGGATGGGCAGAAGGCTGCGATATCTGACTGCGGGACTGATGGCTTGTCTGAATTGCCATCACGCGCATGTTGCTGATCATAATGTTGTACCTGCTTGCGAGCCATGGGATACGTACCCAGCGGGTTCAAGATATGCTCTAAGGAAGACTGGGACGGTCTAATATGATCGTTATTGTCTACCGGGCTGGATTCTCTTATGGAGCTAGTCGCTCTGCGTTCGAGGGTTTCCTGTGAGAATCGTGTGTTGAAGTGCTTCAGCGCCTGCGTGGCTGACTCGTAGTACAAATCCGCCTTGATATACCTTTGTAGGTACTTCAAGATTGTGACATTGGTCTGCAATATACCTTGATAGTCGCTGTGGGATAGGTGAGAGAGCGGCGGATCGGGTTCTTTCCATGACGAAAGACTGGTGACCAGGACACTGCTGCATATCTGCGTATGCACCGCATAGGGAAGGTCAATGATGCTCAACTTGTGACAGTTCCAGAGATCTTTTAATAAGGAACCAATGTAGACGGCCTTGCTGATACAGGTGCGATGGCACAGTTTGATGAATTCAGCCGGAGCGTTTTCCCGTATCCATTTAGTCGCAGTATTCGGGAATACCAGTCTTGATACACCGACACGATACAAGTCGTTGAATGTCTGAGCAATGAGAATATGTACGCCGAAAAACAAGTTTAAGCGACCAGAGCCCTTGAAGATGTATATATTCTCCGCGGACATTTTGAGGCTGTCCGGGATGGAAGCATCAAGCTCCCTGATTTCACTGTCGAGCTTATGGAACTGAGAATTTTCCGTGACTTCCCAGGGGATTTCACCCTCCAAGTGCTTGACATATTTCAAGATCTTGGAGCGAATAGCCATTGCTCTAATATAATATGCACGGATATCAAGATTCCCAGCCGCACCCACCACTGAAGTGTCAGCGAAGGGAAGTAGTTTCCCCCTGGTCAACATTTCTGTATTGCATGGGATGTTACGCACAAACAGGTCTTCGGAGCAGGGGAGCTGCACGTAAATATCGTTGGAGGGTATGAGGCAAAGCTGGTTGATACCGCATTCTATGGAAGCATCGAGGAGATAGCACGCCCATAGAACGCGTCTCCTAGTCTCCTTCGCAGCCCATGACATCTTACTTTTCCGACACAGGATGTCATCGTCGTACTCCATATTCAGCTGTAGGAGTTGAACTTGTCTCGCGATGAAGCCTGAGATCAGGAAGCCCTTGGCATAATCGCCGACTCTCAGGTAATATTCATGGAGAAGGACCCCTGTAATGAGACACTCGATTCGCGGACTTCCAAAGCTCGAAAACATCGATTGCATCGCGGCCTCCGCCCAGCCTCTACCGGCATCAAAGAATAACACGGTGGAGCTAGGTCCATCCTCCTTGGCAGCAATCACTCTTGCACAGTAAAATGGAGCAGCCAACGCACACATGGCATATATCAAGCCAGACATCTCAGTGAAGATCGTCTTCCTGTCTTTAAAGCGCTCCATGAAGGTCGGAATATGCAAGAACCCCATACAGCGGACTGTATGAATTTGTGCGAAATAAATGTCGATGAGCTCTCGCACCCGATCAATAGGTGGTAAATTCCTCATGACTAGCCATGTCGGGATGGCGTGAGATGACCCCTGAACGTAAGCCTCCTCTCGGGGGTTTGGTTCTTCCTCGTGGAACGAACAGTGCAGGCCCTTTTTGGTGCATCGGGTGCATGCAGATCCGCCCGAGCACTTGGACTTTGTTCGCTTGCATTCTAAACAGGACCGGAGGACTCGCCGTCGTTTAAGCCCAGCCTGCGTCACCGAGTCACTGGATGTAGGTCCATCGTCTGTCACGTTGGTATCCGTGCCAGCTTCCGTTGTATATACACACTGTTCGCCAAGATTGCGACAGTTGTTGCAAAAGCCCGCACTGCGGTCACATTTGATCTAGTCGTGTGTTGAGGTTAGAGGAGGTGGAATAGTAGACACGTGTTGATATATAGCTTGAAGCTAGTCTAGGCACGTACCTTCCGCCGGCGGCAGATCAGGCAGCTAGCAGACTTTCTCGACCCGCCCATGGCCCGGCACTATGAGGTGGGTCGTGAGGACGAAGCTCTGGGTCCGCACGAAGAGATCGGTGTTCAGAACACTTTCTTATACGAGGTTCTTGTTTTGCCGGCGCCTGAGGCATCCATGGATGACAGAAATCGTGAACCCCGAAACAAAGCCCGACTGCCGCTATCGGCGGATCTCGGCTATGAAACCCCACCTCTCGGCTGGTCCAGTCGCAGCCCTAACCAGACCGGCGTGTTTGATCATCTATATCATTTCCTAACACGTAACAAACTAAAAGTCGTCATTCGTGGGGATTTTGACGCCAGGCATGTCAGCGCAGAAAGAAGCGAATTTATATGCGCAAATAGTAAAGTTAAAGAAAATGTTAGTAAAAGCTCAGTAACATATGGACATAATGATTACTCAGAGAGTGTAATCTGAGACAAATCATAACGTTATTCTTCTTACTAACATCAATACCCCCAAAAAGTTGGAGCGACTTGTGGGTCTGGACCCTGGTAGAGGGTTGCGGTTCCATGTATTAAATGAGACAGCCTATATTAATCTACTATCTATTTGCTATGAAGGCACGAGCATCCACTGAATCCCTTCATACATATTCTCTCGGCCAATAGGACCAATAACATTTTGTCAAAAATTACCAGCGGGAAACCATATCTTGTTCATAAGTAGTTCACTCGTCAGAAGCGCCCTCTGGCCTATAGCCATTAGTTACTGCCGGTTCAACAGTGGTCTGTTTCCGCATTGTCTTTCCCCTTTCTTAGCGTCAACACAGTAGGAACTGCCACCAAAAGACTACCAATGCAAAGTCCCCAATTCATAGCAAATTCGGACATGGCATTGAGCTTGTTCGCATTAATTCGCCAGGCCATGGCTCCTCCCGCAGGCTTAAGAGCAGAGTAAGTACCAACGATCACGGCATTGACCACAGGGTTCTGGGACTGCGCCCCGATAATCCAGTAGCAATACGATTGCCAAAACGAGTCATAGGCGCCGTAAAAGAAGTACAAGAACATCGGGCCCAGATACTGACTACCAGCCTTGTAGTCAATGTCCTGCTTGAAACCAAGCTGCATACGCTGGTCATTCCAGACCTGGAACTTGTAGCCTCCTCCCCAGATTGCCATGCCTGTGACAAACAATACTGCCCAGCCGACCCATGCTCGAGCACGGCGGTTAATCCCCTTGAGATCTAGGACAGAGCCCATCAGAAGCCCTCCCACCATTTGAGCAATCCAGTACAATGCGCCATTCAGCGAGCGTGTGCGCAGGTTGAAGGTCTTGCCGTTAACGGTATTCTGCTGGTATGAATAGAACACATTGGCATTGTAGAACATGGGATAGAGGCACATAACCCTCCAGTCGAAGACAATCTTGACTGTCTGCATAATCGAACGCTTGAGGTTTGACCAGTTGAGGGCCTTCGAGTCCTGTGAGATCCTACTGCCGTGGTATTTGCGAGACAGTGACTCAGTCGAGCACACAAACACCGATAGAGCCCACCCAAACAGCATAACAACGATATAGGCAATGTACGTGGAGTCGGTCACAGTGCCAGATTTGGAGTGGTAGTTCAACCCGAAACTGGCAAGAGAGCCTATAGCTCCTCCGAGGTTGAACACTACCCAAAAGAGAGCGATCGCTCGCCCACGGGTGTTATCGTTGGTATAGGTAACCATGATCGTACCTTGGGCCACCCAAAAGAAAGCGGCACCAAGACCGAGAATCGCACCAGCCGCAATTACGAATGCGCCGTTTGCCGTTCTGTTGAAGTGCAGTAAAGACCCTGCGTATAGAGCATATGTCCATCCTCCGATAAGAAGAGATAATCGGGGACCAAGGTATTTGTAGAATGCGCCCACTAGAACCAGGGCCGCGCCAGCAGTGCATGCATGAGTCGCGACATTCGAATTCGCAGCAACAGTACCGTCTACCTGGCCAGAACCTCCCATTCCAGTGAGAGCATTGTACATGCCCGGATTGCAGAAAGAAATAAATGAAATCAATGACACTTGAAACCACGGATCATGGTATATTCTAGACCAAATACTTTTGGCTGGCCCTGGTGGAATAAATTCATTATCATGAGAGGAGGTTACGTCTGGCTCAGCGGATTTTATTTCGGACATTGTGCCAGCGGACCAGGAGTCACTATGAATAATGACAGTCGGAGGAAGAAGGCATGCGTGTATATATAGCCACAGGTGCAGCAAAATTCTGGTCTCCCATTGCGCCAAGCGAAAATCAGACGAGGTAGGGATGATAAATTAATCCAGAACAGAACAGGATTAGCGGTTTATGAAGTTACATTTGCTAAAGAGACCTAAGTCGTGAATGCCGAACAAGAGTGCCAGACTAAAATGAACTACTGCACACTAGGCGAACGTGCCATTTTGGCTTGAGGTGCAATACGGATCTCGGGCGGAGATCGGCTACCGAGTTCCACTTTCACGCCATATCTTGCCGGTTTCTACTATATGGCGACCCTTGCTGAAGCGCATTTACATTCTTCCAAAAATAACAATATACCGAACCCATGAAAACCTCTAGCGGTATTGCGTGCAGTCGCTAGAGTCCAGATCATGGCACCATCGAAACATGTCGAACGTCTGGACCTACTGCAGACAGAGGCCCGAACCTCAACTGCGGACAAGATCGATCTTCTTGACACACTGGGCCTCTGTGAAGAGTTCAATAAAGAGGAGAGTCGAGTCGGAGGCGCTGTCGCGTGCTGTCTACCAGCTATTGCATCATTGATTGACGATTTAGCTCCGCGACTCGAAGCTGGAGGCAGGCTCATCTATGTCGGAGCCGGCAATAGCGGCCGAGTCGGGTTCATGGATTGCAGTGAATTGCCAGTGACCTTCTCGGTCGACCCCCAACAGTTTCTAACCGTCGTTGCAGGGGGTACTGAAGCCATAATCCACGCCCAAGAAGGGGCTGAGGATGTGGAGAGTGACGGAGCTCTGAGAATGGAGGCCCTCCAGCTTAATGGAAAGGACACAGTAATTGGCATCTCAGCGTCGGGACGAACCCCATTTGTTCTAGGAGCACTTCAAGTAGCTCTTGAGCATGATGCACTCACAGCTGGTATCACGAACACGCATCCGTCTAGAATTGGCAAGCTCGGAGTCAAACACATCATATGTCCTTTAGTTGGTCCCGAATTTCTCACGGGCAGCACTAGACTCAAAGCGGGCAGCGCTGCTAAACAAATCCTCAACATGATCAGTACCTGCTCTATGGTAAAGCTTGGCAAAACATACAAGGGTCTTATGATTGATGTTCGAGTAAATAATTGGAAGCTAAAGGCGCGTGGAAGAAGAATCGTACGCCAGGTCTGCAATGGAGCCCCGATGCATATCATAGAGAAGAATGGGCTACCATCGTCACAGGCTATTGACATCCCTGAAACAGCTGAGGGCGATGCGGTCCTTGACTCTCTAATCCAGGAGTGCCAGGGCAGCGTCAAGTTAGCCTGCGCGGTAGCTATCTCTGGCTTTCCTCCGGATGTTTCCAGGCAGATACTTCATTCTGCAGGTGGTAACTTCCACGTTTTTGTTCAAGGAATTAGAACAAAAGCCCCGCCAAGTCCCGTGTCTCTTGGTGAGCCCGACTACTGTCTTTGTGTTGACGGTGGTGGAACGAACTGCACCGTTTCGATTGCAACAGAGTCCATGGTTGTTGGTCAAGGGGTGGCTGGTCCCTGTAATTTCAACTCAGTCACTCTAGAGGAACTCATGGATCAAATAAAATTGGCCACAAAGCAGGCGTCCTCGATGGCGCTTGCCAAACAGGGATTTGGCCCTCCCGATCTACCAAGATTCTCGAAGGTCTGGGTAGGACTGGCTGGGCTGTACCATGCGGACCAGATTGCAACATTGACTCGTCGTCTGGAGGAACTTTTTGGTGTTTCTATAAATCATGGAACACTACGCCTGACCAGTGATGGTATACTCCTCGGCTCCTGTATTGCAATGGATGACTCGGTCGAATGTGCGATTTCCGCGATCGCTGGGACAGGATCGGTAGCAACTGCCTTCAAGAAGGGGCCGTCTAACGAGATTGTCCAAGTTGGTCGGACCGGAGGCTGGGGCTACCTGATTGGGGACCAAGGGAGCGCTTTTGATATCGGCAAAAGAGCGCTTCAGCTTGTTTTGTCCAGTGTGGAGCAAAAGCAATTTCAAGCAACTCACAAGCTCACAGAGTTCGAGAGGGCAGTATTGGAAGAACTCAACTCTAACGAAGCAGGCGTTCTCAGAGACATATATCACGCGACTGGTAGTCCTAAAGAGAAGATAGGCGACATGGCGAAGGTTGTCACAAAGTTAGGGTTTAGAGAACGAGACCCCGACCCTCAAGCGCTAGGGGTCCTAACATCTGCAGCTGGCACTTTGGTTCAGCAGATCAAACCGCTGGCTGAGATCTGTGACCCCCGTAAATGTGCACTCATTCTGTCGGGTGCCTTGATGAATCTTCCGGCATATCAGGATCTAATCCTACGGGAGTGGGACAAACAACACCAGTTACCGTTCAAGAAAGTTTTAGTGGTCAATGATGCATCAGGCTATGCTGCAAAATTTCTAGCTATGCAAAATTCGACAATAAACTAGCCATGCAAATTCAATCCTTGCATCTTTCCACGTATAGATTTATTGGTGACAAGCAGGTTTATAACTGTAAAGGCTATCATGTAAACAGGACGTTTATTCATCATAGTAGACAAAGTCATCCATAGTGCTAATCGAAGGATTCTTAGTTCAAGAGAGTCTCGGTAACACGCTAACGAATATGTGGCAACCCAACATCCCAGGACACAGCTGAGGCGGCACCGCTAAAATTTCTTGCCAGCACCACTAAGTTACTATTTCAGCAAGGGAAGACAGTATGGTGGCGGAGAGGAGAGGCCCGAGAGGGTGTTGTTGATTGTGTTAGATTTCAAAACAGTATTTTGTGTGCTGGCTCAGCTGTGAATCATATTTAATGACCAAAAACTGCGCTAGTGGTGCTGGCGAGAAATTTTAGCGGTGCTGCCTCAGCTGTAGACTCATAACATCCATATAGTTAGTACTTTTCCTCCACCTAGCCCGGCGACTTTCACATATATAGGACTTTATCAGCCCCATCCAGCCCCGCTCTCTGCAAGGTTGCTTGCGATGGGAGTCTTAGGCCTGGAGTCCTTTCATCTGGCGCTTCGGTATTGTTGGCGAAATTGGCCGCTTCGTACACATACAAAAATCATCGAAATAGACTGGAAAGGACCGAATTTGATCGGAACGGAGATAGATGTCTTAATTCAATTCAAAGGTATTCGAAACGCGTTTTTGCCTTCAGCATTGGTGCATTTGTAGAGTGGTACGTCAATAGATTGAAGCAACTCACCAAGCGTTAGATATCGGTCAATTAGGTATTTAAGGCTGCCGGTCTGAGATTGCAATCTTGAAACGACTCGCCATGGTATCGATTAATCAAGGATGGAGCCGCACCAACTGTTCACCTATGAAAAGATAGTATCCCTTAGAAGTGATTACCCAGGGCTTGTCTCTGTACGCTGCGACCACTGGCGGACCTAGCTCTGGTGGTAGGTCTGTCAATAGAATTATTCTTTCTCGTTTGATTCAAAGAGCCTTGACTCTTACTTCTTGTATCAAAACTGGAAGGTAAACACTCAGCTGTTAACTGCACTGGTGCTGTTAACGGAGTTCTATGCGCCATGGATCAGATCATCTTGTGCGTTTCAAGGGTTATCCTTTCGGTAGAGGATCCACATCTTTAGTACGACTGGCCGTTACTCGCCACTATAAGGAATCCTCGGATAAGCGTCCGATGCATACTGGCCAAATCATCCGGAGTACTCGAGTACACGTGCAGCGTGATGCTACTGACATCTCCATATCACCAACCCTTTCATAAACCCCCCGTTTCGTGTCCTAACACCAGAATCATTGATACTATCTCTCCTCAGTTGTCATTGGATTTATCTTCACGTATTGAGTTCATCCAGCGTAATCCCAATAATTCCTCGTATATCAGCATCCACACTTGCACATCTGGCGTTGCGGCGGTAGAGCCAACCGGTGGGACTAAGGTTTTAATGTACACTGGTGGAACCGCACTCATTTCCTGCGCGTTCTGGTTAAGCTGGTTACGCTTATCCGACCAAGAACACCTCCAATATATTCCAGGAAACGAAAGGTAGGGGTGTGAATCAAATTGGGGCACATCTGCAGTCCTTGCACGTACCTTGCGCTTCGCCTCTTCTGCCATTTTTGCCAACTTTGCCAACTCCTTGACATCATCCTCTTCTTCACATCCCTTTTTCTCCATCTCCTCCTTCTTCTTCATCTCCTTCTTCTTAGACTTCGTTTCTCCAGCACAAGGCAGCACCCGCCGGCCTGTGAAAATCTAAATGGGTCAACTGGCCGCAAGCGACGCTTCACAACGACCGAGACCGATGGGCCTCCAGACCAAAGCTAAGGGGCGTTGTCAAAGAACTAGTCGGAAATAATAAAAGTTGAGGTGCCCTAAACCATAGGGTAAACCAATTGAAACTACCAACCAGAAGAGTCAAGCTTTGTTAGGGAGTATTTTAGGAAGACCATGCATGAAGTACATGGAATTCATCATGCTAGAAGCGAGCAAAATCAGTCTTCACGGATGTGAATGCTTGGGCGAGGTATCCTGACTAGCATCTTGTGGGAGGCTTGTTGGGTCTTTGAAGAGTTCTATGACTGCTGCCGTCGAGAAAGAGGACCCCTTGCGCAAAGGCAAAGAATTCATCTTTTCCATGTAGCGGCTTGTGAAATAATCAGAGGACATGGTCGAATAACCACTGTGTAGGCAATAGTAAACTAGTAATATTTTGTGCAGAGTGATTTTCAAGCGGCCACAGCCGGAGACCACATACAGAGGAGATGTTAAGTCTGCGAACGCAGCAACGTTGGCCCTGCAGGGCCACGCAGTCGATATTGAGGAAATCGCTTTTCGACCACTGCTGAAGGCGTCGTAGTGTTGGAGGTAGCGAAGGACGGGCGACATTAATCGAGTATTGTCATGTGTTAGCATGTTATTCATTAAGGTCCCTGGTAAAAGCAGATGTGGATGGTGGGCGTGGAAGAATATGTGCACTAGTTCGAGCGTGCTCCATGAGGCACACACAGTAGCCTACCGCATTCCCTTCTCCGGTGTCTCCTGCATCATATGCGTAGAAGTCCAGCTCAAAATACGTGTCATTCCCGATCTCAAGATCTAGAAGACTTTCCTGGTGCTCATTGTTCGGTTTGAATATGTCAAGGTCCCAGGGATAGTATTCTGAACCCGGTAGTGTGGCGTCAATAAGGAGCTAGCCAGACACCAAAATGCCTCTCAGGCTATGATATCCGCTAGGAGCATAGTATCGTTCCGAAACAGATAATAGTCGCCTGAGCTAGACTCCATATTATCGAACCAATGTATAAACCAGCCCTGCAGCTCCAGATAATCGAAGGCATATCAATTAACGGCCAACATTGCGCCCCGGGTATAATTCAGAGCAACGCCATCAATATCCACATGTTCAAGGGTTCTATGTGAGTAGTTATATAGTAAACCTACCGATAGCCCGATCTTTCTTCTCTTGGCTTCTACCACCACCCTCTTTACCTGCAATGTTTTGGTGTCCTTTGTGAGTTTTGATGTGTTTTCGAAGACCGTTTGTCTTGCTCCACTCTCGCTATTATATGAATCAATATACAACTAGTTATAGATTAAAGATTAGATAGCACTTACATATATTTAGCTACAGTCACTTGTTCGACAGAACACACTTCGCCAAGTAAATTTGAGATATCATAGCTCACGCGAGCAAGCACGGTGCCCTGTCTTTTAAGATAATCCGCCCTAGCATTGGGAGTCTCGGTGTGTAGCTTGTTATTGTGAGGCAGTCGATAGGTGACATTGAGTTAGGTACTCGGATTTCTCGCAAGAGTGGAAGTACTGATAGTGCACTGAACTCCCGCCATCCATCCGACCATAGAAGATCCGCCCGTGTTGAGGGCCAACAAATAATTAAATGATTACCGGAAAGTCATCTTCCTTCGCAAATTCGCGGTCGTACTGGGCTGTATATTCCAGAGTATTCAATAGAGACGTCTGCTCTTCCTCGGGCACCCGAGACTGGTATGTCCCATTATGTATAGCACCGCTCGTCACGGCTAATTCCCTAGTTCCATCGTGCTACGACCAAAGGAAGAGCCAAAAGAAAAAGGTCAGAGATGATTCCATTCTTCTAATCTAGCTCTCTGTGCTCAACAAAAAGGTTTTGCCTTCAACACATATGTGGAAGGACCCCAATGGGGAAGAAGCGTGTCTGCTACACATCGTTCCCATCGTATAGTTGGGACACTGCCAGCGTATTATGGGGATATACATAGTCCTCAAATAGTTCGGACTCGAGTATCATCCTTACCGATTAGAAATTTCGGTTGTTCAGCTAGGTTCCATTTTTGGTAATCCACAGAGGCTAGTATCTTCTAAAGTTCCGAGATGATAGAAAACCATAGAAACGTACTGGTGTATAAAGATTAGGTATCCCAAAGTAACAGTGTTGTTGGATAACCTAGGAGGTAGGTGAAACATGCCCCGGGGTCCATAGTGAAAGTCCGGCCTGTTTGTTCAGAATAAGGTATAGGTCGGACTGAATAGTCTTATTCAGTCCCTTGACGTCAACGACGACATAATAGGTGTCCAGAATCGGTTGTTCTGTAGTTTGGCATACCCCGCCAGGCCACTTCAATGCCACAGGACGCTTCGTCCCCATAACAGGATACGTGTACGTCTCGGCTGCACTTTGGGCGGCGTGCAAGGGTACTTCTATAGAGTACAGATGCTCTGTGATACGAGCTCTTACTCCTCCGCAAGATGCAGTAGCTGATGCAACGTAGCGATAACACATAATTCTCTTTTCGAAGCATGAGGAGAGACACCCCAGACAGCCTTTGGGATACTCCCAGAATAACTCTCAATCATGAACTTTGGCATACTTATCACAGGCTTAAACGATCTCTTTGATATCATTAAGTACCGCTGATGTACTGCTTCCAACAGGGTGCTGTGGCAGCTTCGCCCAAGATTCGTCAACAGGAGAACCACCACACGACTTTCGGTATCTTCATGTTTTCAGAGTGAAGAACAAGATAACAGTGTCGCATAAAGGCCTGTTGTAGGTTTCGTAGGCGTCAAAGCTATCCAAAATATGGTTCCGACACCCGGCCGAAGGGTGTTCGAAGTAACCAGCGGTCAAGAACAAAGATAGACCTGCTACCGACCCGGCTATTCGCTTTCTTGTTCGATTTTACGAGAACCACTGCATTTGCATCCGATGCTCGACGAGAGGGTCCTGTCGTCAAGGAAGCTGAGCTATGACTTGCTTATGATGTGGGGCATTGTAGCAACCTGAATTGGCCGATGTGTGCTCCATATCTAGGAAAGAAGCGAACCAGCCATGGCCACATCGACGAAAACTGCTAGTATGTCAAGATAGTCGACTGAAAACGGCATGGTGATGGCAGAGTAGGGTCTCCACCTCATGCATTTGACGATACGGCTGAAGTAACTCCCGCATATCAATGAATGG